TTCTTTATAGCTTTGAAAATGCATTGTGAGAGTGAATAGTGTACAGTATTTAAAATTAATGAGTTGAAAGACAACTGACCATATTGTCCTACCTGTACCAAAAATGGGTTCTCTCGTCCATCGTCCAGTGTCCCTATCTGGCATGTGTCTGTTAAGAGTTGAGTAAGTGAGGGAAACAGTTAAGGTCAAACTGGGTCAGTTTGGGCAGATTTACTGTAATTAGTTTAGATAAACCACTTTTGTGTGTTTTATTATGTTTGCGAAAAGCCTTGTCTGGGGGAGTTTTAGTTTGGATGTTTGAGAGCGCAGACATGTTTGCGGTATTAGTTTGAAATTCAGCGAGAATATACGAGTTCAGTTCACATAACTGAAGATTATTATTCACTGTTATATTCGAGAGTCGTATAAGCGAAAACTATTGTGATGTTTGTGTCTTGCACCTTTATGTAAGTGACATGTATATATGTTTTGTAAATACACAGTAAGTAATAAATAAGAGCAGCGACATGCAGGAAGTCACTTTTGTACTGTATGATACAAAATACGAAATGTGTCGAAAGTGTTAACGGGAAATCGTGGTCATCGATCACTCTGTAGCTACTCCTATATTGAGAAGGTCTGGTGGCTTTGACAAAGATTCCGGTGGTCTATCACTGGTTATCGCAACACGTCAGACAAAACAGATAAAAAGGTGTAGATTTCTATGAGTGAAGGAAAAGATGGCTTCCGATCAACACAGCAGTATAAACAAACCCGTGACGAAAATTTGACTCTTATGTCTGGAACAGCGCTGGATATTAAGCGCAAAGCGGAAATATAGTCTGCCCTGTGGCACGGAATGATATTTACACCTGCTGTTTGACACCATCTTATTACCAAAAACCGCATTATTTCATATGGTGAAAAAATAAATCAAGTAATATTATACGTTTGCTGTTTATAGACATGCATGTATTGATTATGAAACAAATTGTCTTTATACTATGGTTTCCTCCGTTACTGCTAGTTCGGAAATTTTCTACCATTCTTTGTAGTATCAAATAAGGATAAGTATAAATTTTACCGTAAATCATGATACAATGTTTTATACATGTTTTATACCGACACTCCTTTCAACACCATATCCCATTTCCAACCTATGAAAAGTCTTCCTTCGTTATGAGAGAATCCTTTTACAAATATGAAGATATAAAGGGGTATTGAATATACCAGAGATTCCACAAAAGACATGCAATATATTGGCGTCTTTCTGTCCAAATCTAAAATTAAATACGACATAACAAAATTGCATTTTACGATTGTTTTCTCCAACTTGGACATGTATGTGAGATGATTCGACCTATGAGACGATTGAAGAAATGGAACAAATGATAAAAAGAAATGTTAAAATCTATATGGGGAGATGGTGCACTTACCCCATAATTAATAATTTGAATTTTGATATATCTGATAATTTCAGAAGAACGTCAAGTTCAACATGGGTATGAACAAATCATTGTAGGAAGGTTCCAGTTGACCAGTTCAACAGAGGTGTCAATCACCTTTAATCTCGAAGATTGTACAAAAACACAAGAGTATAACACCTTTAAAACCATTTTAAGGATTAGATCATCTAGAGCCAAACAATGGATTGAACTGCATCACACAGCTGTTTCATCCTTCTGTTACTCGTTAGTAGTACAAAGAGCCTCGATTATAAAACCTATGAGGCGACTAAGGAAAACTTGTATTACTGTTTTTGCGGAGATTTTATTTTCATTCATTTCACGGGTACCCTTAATCTACGAAATCGTATGTCAGTGACCTGTTCAAAAAAGTATAAGCAAAGCCATATCATCCACGAAATCAAATGTCCACGAAGCAGCATGAAAAAAGCAGAAAAAATGAACTCCACGAAAAGATAAGATTTTACAGAACTTCAATTTCAATCATTGTATATTTCGTATAACAAATAGCTTATCTATAAGATTGTGATTTCGTTTGTAAAAGCTTGCTTACGTTGTAACGATGCATTGAAAAAAATCTAAAAATACTTTTCATTTTCGGGTCAGATATGTTATTTTTTATAGTATCCCTAACATATTCGACTGAATATGAAATAAGTTATTGTGTCATTTTATATGATTCGGTCTGTGATTTGCAAAAACTCTTCACTACAGATATTTAGGAAAGAATTGTCGTGATATCCAATACATAGTGGGGCGAGGCAAAATATGTAGTTACAAAACGAATCACATAAAGTGTAGCGCGAGATGTGGATTACAATGAATTCGATCTTTTTATGAAGAGATTGGATTAATTTGCAAGCTATTGACTGTAAAACAAAAGAATCCTCTGAAGCACCAAAATGAGAAGGCTTATATATATATATATCCAGAATCTTGACACAAACAGTGATATATATCACGACAGAAAATCGTAAACAATTCGGCCACATATATAACTGACAAAAGAATAATGCTGTCATTGTTTAAAGGATTCATACCTTTGCTTCGTTTTTCAAGTGTTCCTTATTCAAATTCTTCTGCTTCATTATGTATATTGAAGAAAGTGATTCATAGAGGTCATAATTGTAGCCACTGTACCTGCTTAAATGGTTCGGCTCATCATGAGATTCTGTCTTTCGAAATTAAACCGTTCTTCACTAGGCAGTTATAGAGAAGAAATGAGATCTTTCAACACCACCGATACTAACCGATATGATATATTTTACAAAAGACACGCGAAATATCACATTTTGGTACAAATTTGGAGTTAGATAAATTAGAGCCAAACATTTAATAAAAATCAAACAGCTGTTTCGTCTTTCTAGGATTTGTCAGAGATGCTAAAGGTCTAATTTTCAAAACCTAAGATGTGACTGAGAAAAATCTAATGTGATTGAAAAGAAAGCCAAAATCTAGATATGGCAGTAAGCCATCTCCATAATTAATTTTGTAAATTTCGTTATTTTCATGCATCAGATCATTTTAGAACAAGGTCGAGTACATATGTATATTATGAAACGTGCCACTTTAATTTACTTTAATCGCTAATAGCCACTCGCCTTTTAAAAAGATAAGAAGTTTTTATCACTAAAACACCTTGATACAACGTTGCAATAAATTTGAACAATATCTCTTTTTAAAGATTGGTTTAAGTTCCCTCTTAGTATACCTTATTACATCATTAGGCATCTGCAGACCTTTGACTTTTAAACCCAACAAACTTTTTAAATCTCGTACACACCAGGGAAGTATAAAAGAATAAAACATAATTGGCTTAGGAAACAATTAAGTAATCATAGGAGATCAGTTGCTAAATCTTTGACATTTAAAACAATTCTTTTTCAGGCAAAGGTAGTCCAATAGAGTGCATATTAAGTTATATATCTCAAGTGATTACATTTAAAAATTAAATGTCTTTCTTTCTACAAAATGCCAGGGAGTCAAACGTTATGTAAAAGCCTTTAAAGTTATGAAAACTCCTTCAGGATTTTTATCTGAGGAAAATAAATGTTTTCATATGTTAAAGGTCTATTGTGCATATCGACAAAAAATATAACTCACAGAACATTTAGTACCGTATGTGAGTAGAAATATCAAGAAAGTTCATATTTTATTATCGTCAAGACGGAGAATAACTTTGTTATCATAAAATGTTCTCACCTGACGGTAAGATGATGAAAACAGCTGTCCGGTTATCCCTAATGAAGGTGACATATAGGGATTTTTTCCCCTTATTTATCAATGTTCGTATGTTTCTAACGACAACCCAACCAAGGTATATTTTCCTGTTCTATCTGCTTTCAATGCTACCATTAAATCTAAAAAATATCATATGAAGAAAGTTTATTTATATATTACTGATATGAAGATTTCAAAACAAATTAATGCTTGTGATTTTTTTTTCTACTCTTTATAAACAAACTAGTTTCGATATTTCAATCACAAAATTGTCGAATGCAGGTATAATTCAATTATCCTAAGTAATATTAGAATCGCAATAGAAAAGATTTGCAAATGTGCGTGTAATCTGCTTGTTATGCAGAGATATGAAAATTGTTTATTTGACCTTTCAATGTAGTGCTAATACAAGATATGGGTGGCAGCTTTAACAGGGTCGCTGTGATTTCAATATGTGACTGTTCTATGGCCTACGTCAATATTTAAAAAAAACTAAATGTGATGCTTTACTTATAGACGTATATTAATCATTTGCGTTTTCTTAATTATCCACGTGATTCACCCAAAATGTTGATACGATAATATTTGAAGATTGTTCTTATATATACATTTGTGACATGTTCATAGTACTTTGAACATTTCACATATGGTCTAGTCCTGGTGATTCGATGCACAGTCAGATGGGGCAGTAAATAACCTTATGTAATGGTGTTATATCTTTAATTCCTCAGATCCTTTTCACTTTTCTTCAGTAAATATTTTTTGTCGATCATCCTTCTACAATATATCCCCGAGCATGAAATGTTTCCACAGGATAAGAATGTGGCGACATGAGAAAAAGGCACAGTAACTAATGAAATCATATTTCAAGAATTCACTCATCAGGTTTCAAGTTTCAAGGGTTGAGACGAAAAATACTTTAACGCCTTCCTTCAAGACGTTCTATTACAAAATGTATGACGATAAAAAATTGTTTTATTATCTTAGATCACAACGACAAAGAGCTTTTCATAGGTTACAGGGATTTCATTCCACTCAATTATTTGTTAGATTTCAAAATGTGTTTGCTTATCATAAGTTGTTTTGAAAACGCTTGTAGCAATCAAAATCGTTTATTAATAAAGGAAAGATTATATTCATTTCTTTTAATTTTCACTCATTAGGACGGATCTTTTTGGCTAAGAAGTGAAGTGAAAAGGTAAAAGATAATATATGATAAAAAATAACATTTTCATATAGAACGTGGTTCTTCTTGTAAAGGCTATGATATCTCCAGCAATACTGAGAATAATAATGACGATGAACAATACCAATATCATTTAATTCTTTTTGCAGGTGACGATGCATGCTACGTGTCTGACCTTAACTGCCATGACTGTTGACCGTTACCATGCCATCGTACATCCTGTCAGCTCCATGAACTGGCGTTCGAGAAGGGCCTCCACTATCGTCAGTATCGTTGTTTGGGCAAGTAGGTATAAGTCTGCTAACGTTGAACCGGTCAGATTTCTCTTGAGATTTCACTCATATTTACAAAATACAGGTTAACTTTAAAATATAAAATATTATAGAATAATGATGTTACGGGCCATAAAAGTGATTTATCCCATAGATTTCTTCTGAAATGATATGAACCAAACATGTGGAAATCAAGAGGACGGATTAAATAACTCAACACGAAGCCAATTATCAGACATTAACAAACACAATTCCCACAAGTAATCTATTGAAAACAATTAGAGATTAAACATTTTAATACTTCAGAACATGTACTTGATCTGAGTGATGCCGTTTTCCATACTTTCAAACTTTAATTTAATGTCTTTGGTTTGGCCAGAAATTGATGGAGGTGATATATTTCCAAAAAAAAGTGAAACCTTCTGTTAGATATTGCATTGTAACTCTTCATGCATTATAATATGACAGATGATTTCTAAATAAGGATATTTTAGTGTTGTGTGTATATATAACAATTGTTATTGAGGCGCAAATTTGCCACTGCTTCAATTTGCCAAAAAATGATAATGCGTCAAAATTTAATTACGGTAAACGTATGACCAATAAAGATCCAACGTTCATGGTTCGCTTATATTTAGTTTTATCTATATGAACACCGTGCGTTAACGAGTCCTGATGGTGAACAGGCAGGGCGAAATAAATTTATAATTTTGATTATCTTTTACACTCGAGATACCAACTCGCGTATGAATCAATCCAGTGTGACATGTTGTGTTATTACACAAAAATCGGTATGTGTTTACAACTGATGGCATGGATATGTTTACATCAAACATGTAAAATATTGATTGTGTCACCGAAGAAAGCCGAAAGTATGAAACGAACACTATAAAAAGTCTTTATTAATTAACATTTCTTTTCCAGTTTCACTTCTGATCTCCATTCCTTTTGCTATATATCACGGAGCTGTTAATCATTTGAATCCCAGTAAACATGTGTATTGTGCCGAGATATACCCGACTGTAACTTTGGACAATATCATTTCTGTTGGAGTTATCATTACAACATACGTGTTCCCATTAAGTGTCATTGTCATCTGCTACTACAGTATTCTGAAATACATCTGGAACGGTCGTACGCAGCGGAGCAGCAGCTTCAAACATGAGGTATTGTATCATAGTTTTGCGGGTCAAACTGAGCGACGATAACGAAGTTAAATGTAACCAAACGCTCAGTAAATAAGGCTTATTAACGAACCCCGCCGAAGCATTTATATTTAACACTTGAAGCTGAGTGCACTATATCACAATTACGTCCAAAATGTTTTTTCTCTGTAAATACATCGAATAAATTTAATACATTGAAATTCTTTTATTTTTTAAAACAAACAATTAGCCGTAAATCCGAGTAGCAATTCGAGTATATTTGGCACGATCTCCTTGTCAAAATAGACATTAACATGTTTCCCCAAGTTTTCAATGTGAATGTCATTTTATTTTATAGGAAGACTGTAACGGGTCCACTCCATTATCGAGCGAATCCCAGGTTAGACGCAGACGACGAGTAACCCGGATGGTGTCAGTGGTGGTCCTTCTCTTTGCTACGTTTTGGTTCCCAATTCATGTTTACAATATCTGTCGAAAATCCATGACAATTCCTCAAACGTCTATCTTTTATGGCATAAAAATATTTGCTCATACTTTGTCCTATGCAAACTCGTGTGTAAACCCATTTGTGTATGCTTTTCTAAATGACGGGTTTAAGAAAGCGTTCGCCAAAACATTTCCCAGCTTGTATCCATGGTGTCCATGTATGCGAATGGTAAGCGACGAACGCCACACACAAGTAACTGGTATGGTGGACCAGGCCATCCAGGCAATGCCGGAAGATGATAACGATGCTGGAGTTACGAAACCGGAAGCATTGCCAATGACACGTGTTCAACCTCAGACGGATTTATGACTATATGGATTCTAGACCAATTGTAATTATTACACTTAATTGTGCTCAACTTTCGAGGAACATTGTAGCTATTGAGGAGTATAAATATATTTTTTTCCATTAAAAGAACTATTTCAGTACAAGCATGTTAAGTCTGTTGTAATACTACGTTATGTTACGTCATTATTATGTAAACACGTATTTGTTATGGTATAACAGTAAATTACGCCATTACTATGTCATTTCCCATATATGGTAAGAATGAATGAAAGACAGGAAAGGATGACGTCATGCTACTAATGAAAACAAATCATCGGCATACATTGTTTCCCTGTATCTTTATGATATCATATTATAAACTTAATGTCCCCAATGAAAAAGATAATTCTGATGTGGTTACCTTGAGTAATAACACGTGTGACAGTGTGTAGCAGAGTGTCCGTGTTATATCATAGTACACAAATGTAAAACTTTGGGGTCTTCTAAACCCGACATCTGAAGTATAAATATTGTATTTCACTCATGCTACCTTTCCTTAGGGTAGATAGAAATATATACTTACTGCGGAAGGAACATTGTTTCAATAAGTGAAAACGTTTAAGTATGAAGCAATCAAATGATGTTATAAGGCACATATACGAGAGTAACACGAAGCACACAATACCTTTTTCCTGACTATGAAAGTAGCCACACATTTATAAAAATATGTCCGAATTATAATATTGTACCATACAGCTAATTCGTCCCAGCAGTACTCACCGCTGACGGCAGGGACACCCAAACGTTTGAAAATCAAGCAAAACGAATATGTATCATAAACGATATATTGTTCAGTCAAGATAGTAACAAGTATATTGTACTTAACTTGCACCCAAAACAATGAAATCCATTAGTATAACCTGATGTTCATATCATTAATTGATATTTTTCCTTATCACTGTGTCAATTTCTAGTGATTTTATGTTGTTGGAAGTTACATACTGATGACATGTAATGTTGTGTTTGATCTGTCGAATTGAACGATAAACCTATTTGAAATATGTTCACTATTTCCTCTTAAATGTTTTGAAACGAACTATAATGAATGAACATTATATGTAGATTTTTTTATGTCGAATGGTAACTGTCAATTAGGTTATCATGTTGGTACGATTGTATCTATGTTTTTATACATGATGCTGGTAGAGAAAGGAGAAAATGTGTTACATTATTTATCTAAACTGTAATCAATCACCGAGTCCACATAAATGTCAGTATTTTCTTCAATTATATGTATATAATGTATTATTTTTATGAAGATACTGGAAATTTTATCACAAAAAGTATATTCTCTTATTTCATGGTATAGACTTTAATGTTAACATGACCTAATTGAACATTTAGATTCTTTATCAATGTACATCGTTCTGTTTTTGATCTACATGCTTTCTATTACAGTACAGCGTATTTAAAATCTCCTTCAAATGTTTTGAAACAAATCCGCTGCAAAGATCGACAAATATTTTTCTTAAATTTAGCATAAAATTAACAACAGTTAAAAAACATTCCATGTTGTTAACGATTTTATTTAGGCTTAAAAAACTGGCTGAGCATTTTAATAAACCATAATTAAGGGAGTATCTGTTGGTTTTAAAAGAGCGTTTTTGTCTCTTTACAAGCAAAGGAGGTTTTCAAGTCAAACTCGCCTAATGTTGGTCGTTTTTCAATTATCGCTTTTGTAAAGTAGATTGCTCGGGAGCATTATTATGTTAAAATTGTTTTTTCGTCAGATCCGAAATAAAATGACGTCCATCCACTTTCGCTGTGTCTGTCTATAAAACACGTTAACTATTTGAATCGATGTTAGAGATCAAAGGCTGTGGTAAAAGAATGATTTGAACATACATGGCGGTGTCATTCAGGCTCTCACGTTAAACTTGCACTGTTCTAATGGAAACGCCCATTCAAAAGCAGGGTAATTTCCAGTATCACATGCTTTAGTAGCGTAACCGTGTGTTCTCTACCTTAATGTCCCTAGTTCTCTAAATATGAAAATCGAGCTATCTTCTTTTTATATAATACTATCTGCCGTCTGGACATTCATTTAAATTACAATAACAATTTTTAATACAGAGATGCTAACACACATCAAAGTTTCAATGATAACAGTTTCTAAAAGATAAAACCGCTGACGATTGAGAATTACGGTAGATATTCCAGGGTATGAAGAGTTGAGATATCCAAATAACCATTTATTGCGACAAACAAGTACTGGAAATAAAACGCTCACAATTGGGAATTCATAATCATCACGCTAATCATAACGATTATTGTTCCTGTTCGGTTTGCTGAAAGGAAAAGATCGTAGTGAGCAGCCAATGAATAAGAGACTTTCATGTTTTGATTTCCAGTCATGCTTGATATGCATAAATATAAGGTATGTTTCATGCCGTAAACAACAAAAACTATTTGAACACACGGACTTGAACAGTATACACAACTTTTTCTTGATACTTAAGTCAGAAATACGCAAATAGAAGTTATAGGTTGCGGGAATTCAAAATCCAAGGACGAAATGTCTTAATATACGCTCGATGTGCAATCAGATTTCATCTCTTGTCCAGTTATATAAAAATGCAACCTCAAGATTCCACATAATGTTTCGAGATTTTGGCATCGAAAATTCTTAAACACCACACCCTCATGATATGACTGAAGCACTTATTCACCTTCTGCCACAAGTAGAAGTAACTTAGATATAAATCATTTGAAGCATCCGCTATACTTCAGGATTTAGAACTAATATTTCGGAAATTCTTTCAACAATAACATTTAGGTTTTACAGTAAAATATTTAAGAGCCCTTTGCAAGCCATTTTAATACCAAGTCACACCTACCTGCGCGCTACCTATGGGGATTAGGGATGGGACAATTGGTTGTTTGGAGAATAACGTAGACGACACGCACCATGTAGTTTCTGTCTCTGTTGGCTGACTTGTTTTTGTTTTCATACAAGGCTGAATTTATTGAAGTGCTTATCAAAACAGGTCACAAAGAACTTTCAAAGTCTTTTAATTTTACATTCAAATATATTGATGACGTCCATCGTACATACTCACCAGAACTGGAAATCAAAGACACGAAAGACTCTAAAGAATCCAACATGGTTAGCTCTCCAACAAACTGTATGATAAACTTGGTGATTTCAATTACCATATTGTGAATTTTCCATCTCTGGATAGCAATATCACTGCATCCTTAACCTGAGGTGTTTACATGTCACTGCTGATTCCATATCCAAAAGCATACTTGAATTATCACGATGTTCGGGCAAGATATCAACTGACGGAGACACTCGTAACACAGGGTTTTTAAAAATATGCAGGTTGATAAAGAACATGGGAAAGTTTTATGGTCACCATAGTAATCTCATTGAGAAATATCATATTTCTTTGTGCGATATGACCTTAACGAGTTTGATGCTGGTTAGTTTGCCTGTTGATTCTATTATTGTATACCTTGTTCTAATTTCAGCATGTGGCATTACTTACATGGATTGACCAAGGTTTAACATGGCGGGTGTCGAAAATGAGGCTGAAGACGCTTACTCTTTCGGAAAATTGGTCTTATTCTCTTTGTACTTATCCAGGAATCTCCGTGTAAATCTTGTTCTTATTTTGCCCTAGTTTTATGGAGATTAGGTTTGGATTATGATTATGTTGATATCTTGTATTTTTGTGGTTATATACAAACGCACATTTTCATACGGACATTACCTGTTTAGTTGAATTTTATTACAAGCGGTTGAGTAGACCGTTTTTCCTGTAATAACTTTCGCAGTTAAAAGAGCATCAACACAAAATGCACGAATAATTGTTTTTATCTCATCGCTATTGTGACACCATTGAAGCATTAAGAGTGTATTTAGCGATTAAGTTTGCAAAAACCTCTATATTGAAACTTTCATATTCAGAACATTACATCAAATACACAAGAGGCCGTTAGGGCCACGCCCCTCAGTCCCCTTGAAGGTCAGTTCCATCATATGTACAACTTTGAATTCACACTACTTACAGATGCTGCCAGCCTGATATGAGTGAATATCGGGGCATAATTCTGAAGAAGTTGCTTATAGCGATATTGCCAAGTTTTTCCTTCGGCCATATCAATCAAACCTCTGTCATCTGTATTATTTTGAATTATCATCACTTAGGGATGCTACCAGTTCAATATAAATACAAAGTTCTGGAGAAGATGTTGTTTATAGACTTAAATGTTTCATCTTGATTTATGTAAAAGGCATGCAGCATTGAAAAATGTAGCTATGTACCTGTAAACAACTTATATTATCGATAAAAGGAACATACCCCAGTCAAGTGAAGCTTTTATTATGGAGTACTTACGCAATAAGTATGATACTCTTCACACAATTGTTACGTTGACACCTTACGTATCAATAATTATCTAGCTTAAACAAGTCAATCACACGACATGTGCCTGTGCTATAGTTATTTTTCCCCACATTCAATGTTTGAAAAAGGAATTAATGATCTGTATCACGGTGTAAATGGCATCAAACATAAGAAACACACTAATTTGCAATCTTCGGTTAATCAGTGCGTTGCTCACAACAAAGACATTCAGCAAAATTGGGTGTTCTGCTGACAGGGCAGCGACACACAAAATGTTATTGATGAAAACTTTGACACAAAGCATCGATCATGTGAACAATGACAAATCCGTCACCACCGGACTGACGAAGACAGAATGACTTCTATATGAAGATACATCACTACTTTTGTTGTCAAAGCTTTACGGACATCAAGGATGCCGTCTCTTACCGTGTTATAGGAGGAATGAATACATCAAATTCCATGATCATAAATTCCTTCCTGAAAATTTAGGGTATGATATACAAAACAACGAAGTAGGAGCTTTTTTATGGAAGCAGACACGTGGTTATTGCTTTCATTCACCGTAAATTCTGAACTACTGAACGGTTTGAAATAAAAATCCGTGACAAACAAATTAAGATATATATCTATTTTATTAGAGTAAAGACTTTTGTAAAATTCCAGTTAGATGTTCATCTAGTCATTCGCACTCATTCCAGCATTTACACAACAATGAAACGTTACAGATGATATCGTTATCTTTCACGTCACACTCGACATTGTTAATTGGTTAGATATATGCACAACATTGCAACCATGTGTAAATATGAAATGCAAAACATGAACAAACAGCAATTTAAGAATCTCAAATATTCGGTGTAAGCAATAAAATGAAGCAATAATGAAAATAACCACAATTTACGCCAGAAACCATAGTTAGTCCACGCGCATTCTTTGTTTAAACAGAAGTTCTGTGTTAGACCAAAACTTAAAATAACACCCTGTATGACAAAGCGTCGACCTTTAGATGACGTTTATAACCAAATTTCGAATTCTTTTTATATTTTAGAACAAAAATTATTTGCATCGCAACAATGTGTTTAATTACTAATTACTTAATGAGTTTGGATATCTAATTTGATATGTCGGAACATTTTGTATTTGAAACGCTAGAACAGTTCGCAAACATTATTTACATATAATCCAAAGACTTTCAAAATCTGGCGGCGATATGCTGTAAACACCGGCAGATGATTATTTGTTTGTAATACAAATAATCACTAAACATTACAAAAAATCAATTTTATATGCTTATACTTTGACATTGAATTTTTTTATCTATTCAAAACATCTCACAGATATGGCAGAGAATCAATGCCCGGGTTTACACAATCAAACTTAATAAATCTACTGAAAAAAGGGCATTAAAATGGAATGTTTAAACACAACATTATGACGGATTAATGTATACAGTGCTACTTCGGTTGAAGTGTTTTCTTCTGTAAAATTCGCCAATACTAAAAGTCAAAGCGACGGGAATGATTTTATTATTCGTACAAAATAGAACAGAAACAGTATTACAGTAACGATTTTAATTCTACAAGGTTTAAGCTTCAATAAAATAGTTTGAAACCAAATACTACATACAGTTTAGTCCTTAATACGTATAATATTTTTATTCTGGTATAAACTTTTAACCTCTCTGACGAACTAATCCAGTTTTCTTTTTTTTTTTGTTCGATTTGGAGAATAATACGAGAGTTATTACATCGTAATTTCCATATCAGATTATAATGGAAATTTTCGAATATTTACTGTACAAACGTCTGAATAAATTCGTTTCCATAGTAATGACAAAGGGTGTCCAAACGTTTCCTAAAAAATGTGTTAAATGCACTCTTTTAAACCCACTGGAAAGCAGAAATATTCTCTATAGTCTTTGTTTTCAACGTAAATATATGTTTATGGAACTAAAGACACATTTATACCATTCATAATGATATAAATTACCGTGCGTCACAACTACGCTTTTGCAAAGCATCCGATTAAAGTGTTATTAAGATGACTTTAAGTCACACAAAATATATATAGCACATCATTTAAGTAACTTATATCACAAACTCAGGATCAGCTCACTATTCCACATAAATGTCTCTTTAAGAGATTGCCCTCATGGTTCTTTGGAAATTATCTGTTCCTGCTTTTAGTAATTAATCATTATTTACATAAAAACAATAATTGTAAAGTCAGCGGAGTAAATATTAATGCATAAAGTGTCTTATATATATATAATGTTATAGGTTTTCAAACAAAAACAAAATTCTTGTTAGTGTATACAATGAATATGAATTGTATACAAAACGTTCATCTGTTGCATACATCGTATAAAGAGGTTTTATTTGTCATGCGCAATTCAACGTTTTGCAATCAAAACAGAGTACATCATATTTTACCTTATATTATTGTTGACGTTCGTCGAAGAACAGTGATCAAGAATATCTAATTCTACTCGTCCGCTATAAAAGTACCCATGCAATACTTGACAATTAATGATATGCCGAAATTAAGACACTGGCGACAAAAAAATAGAAAGTCAAATGGTACCCTAATTTACGGAGAGATGATAATGTTCTCAAAGGCATTTCGTTAGTGAAAAGGCGATATATAATTATAGGTTTTAAGTATGTTAGTATTTATACATTATCTGATGATGGTATATTTCAAATGATAACAAATACCTAACACTAGTTATTAGTAAGTAAATATGATTTCTACACAAAACACCTGTACTCGTCAAACACAAATTTAGGTAAGAAGTGGTTTAAAGCATTGACATCACCATGACCGAACAACGCCAATTACCCCGATTTAGGAGATGAACTGCCGATTTTCGACGTGAATCGTTAGCAAATTTTCTAAAAAAAAATATGTAATGCAAAAAGCTCTCCCCTGAAACAAAACATTTGTTCAAAAATAAGAGCTTCAACATTTTGTGTATTTCCATATCAAAGTGAAGTAATAATTAAAATAAATTTCAAGTATATAGTATACCAATGTGATCACGTGACAACCAAATCAAATACGAAGCGTTTCTGTTTTTGAGAAAGTTTCGGAAAATAATTAATCGAATTATAGATAATTATCAAACAATTCTGAAAAAAAAACCCACACAAAATGAAATCAAAATAAAATTCGTTGACCTCTGAAAGCTTAGATAAGGAATGATAATAGGGTGCTCACATGGTGGTGTCAATAACGTGTACAGACCAGATTATATAACAATGAGCTTTGCAAAGTCGTTTTCAATCTCAAAATCGTTTTATAGAAATTATAATATAAGACCGTATACGTTACAAATGAACAGTCTGGTTACTGCTGAGACTAATTATTACCACCGCGTTGCCTATGTTTGTTAACTACATGTTGTAAGAAGAGGTTCGTGTTGAAATCCTGCCGTTTGGATCCTTCTGGCATTCGGCAGATCATCGGTTCGGTGTCACAGATGTAACCATGGGGACAACAGTACTTCCCATCCGGACAACAAATCGCCTGCAATGTTAAGATATATAAACGTAGTCATTCCTAGATGAATAAAAGTATGATGGAGGAAGCATACATCATCCGCGAGAGAGCATTACGATCGGAAACAAAAGCTAGGACCTCAAATTCCATTTTTTAAAAAACCTATTCCATAAATTCATGATCGTGATGATACCTCTATTTGCAAATCGTTTTACTTGTCTTTATTTCCATATCAAATAAGGGAATATTAATTAATTTCGATATTCATTAAAACCTTGTGCAATTGTATGTTCATTTATTTGTCGCTATGCGCCAAGGGGGACAATTCTAACTAACTATCGCAGACATTTTTGATATTTCTTGTTCTGTCATGGACAATATCATGTTAAGATACAATATACGATGACTAGACTGCAAAAGGATTAGATCTAAAATTCACCGCACTAGATTTAATGATATTAAAACAGGCTTATCATTATTCACCGGTGTGTAAAACATAAATTTCTCGAAGGATGTAAAACACCGAAAGTTGTGGATTATGCTTACACTGCAGGTAGGAACATCAAGTAAATATGATACTTATTGTATCAAATTCTTGAATTTAATTTTCCTTCGAAAAAATAAATTTAAAATGTATATATATATGTGATACAAAAAGAGTCCTACTATTTATAAATATCCCGATCGATTTTCGGCTCTAAGTCGTAATTAGAACTGGAGAAGTGTTAAATGCGATTTTCGAGACTTTATTGGATTTAAAACAAGAGACAACAGAGTGATCTTGATGCCAACCATATTTTGGGGTTAATTTATTCTTTAAAAGATTTATTCCTTTAAAGATATACTTTCCTTTATATTCTATCAATTCCCTTGTTCTTGCTTTCAATAGTACAAAATTTTAATTCCTCCAAGGAAACAGCTATGATAATCTTTCATTACCAAAACAAATATGGCCGTCGCTTGTCACCTTCAGAAAGAACCATTTAGTACTTCTCAAGAAATAGGTAACGTTCATTGTAATCATCCAAGATGATCTCCTGTCAGTTACCTTTTTTATTTTCAACAATCCAAAAACCAAGCAGAAACAACTTTAGCCCAAACGTAACCTGGACGTAAAATTTGAAAATGATCCATCCATTACGTCAAAGAAATAGATAAAACAGTCTTTTAATGTTAAAAACCAAGATGGTGGTCTGACAGCCCCAATATCTAACGGAAACAACTAGAGACAAAAGGGATCACACATATGAAATCTAAGCAAGATTCGTTCAGAACTTCTCAAGAACCTGTTATAACAACAATGGATTGTCAAAATCACTGATGGCACGGTTCCAACTATACATATGAAATTATCAGACATATGAAATAACAATTTTTAATTATGTTGCCAGGGCACCACCCTGCCTACGATTTCGATATTTCTTTCAATCACTACTTCATTTACCTTCCCGATTTCAAAAAATGGGGCAAAGCCACAATTGCCCGGGTAGCGGGATGAGTGCAATGTCATATGGTATTTATGAGACAGTTAAGGGTGTTTTATTTGTTGAGTATGTAGAATATTTGTTATCGAAGAGAAAATTTGGTCGTATCTTATAAATTGGTGTAGAAGAAGGGCATTTGAAGAAAGAAGTTGCATCCTTTTTTGATTCGGAGATGTTAGAAATAGACAATGGACATCTAGGGTTTCCCTGCCAAACTGCAGAAAATGACTAAGTTCCAAAGCCCAGAAAATCTGGAATGAATCCATGATAGGAGGTGCACTTCTTCAACATATATTTAAATATCCTACAAAGCTTCAAATTTCTACGTCAAAAACTCTAGGAGGAGTTGATACTACAAAACTGGTACCCCTTTTCCCTGCCAAACTGCAGAAAATAACTAAGTTCCAAAGCACTGAAAATCCAGAAAAATGTCCAGAATACATCCATAATAGTAGGTGCGCATCTGCAACATATATATATAAACATCCTACAAAGTTTCAAGCTCATACGTCAAAAACTCCAGGAGGAGTTGATTCTACAATACTGGTACCCCTTTTTGCAGGCCGGCCGCCCAGCCGCCCGCCCCGCCCAGTCGCCCGCCTGACATTCACCTTACTATAACATGGATTTGCACTATGTGCAATCCAGCCAATATAGGCCACAAGAACCACTGACGAATCTTATAAGGATGAAAAAGTGGCTTGTTGCAGTTTTATTCATTGTTTGAATATAATGTATCAAATTCTACATTCGTATTAACAGGTGCTTTTAACATGTGATGTATTTTGCTATGCCATGACTCACCTATCATTTAGAACAGTTTAAAAACACCGCCAAAAATTCAAGGCATTCGATGCAACATTTTTACCTTCGCATATGAACAACATCCGTAATTTCCTGATGAATTCTTACAACAGGTGTTATCGCTTGGACAAGAACCACCACCAGGGCAGTCAATAGACGAGGAATCATGCTCAACGCTGATAGCAGGAACAATCTTAGCAGATATGGGGTAATGATTCTGAATCAATACTGATTCATGCATTTGCAGCCAGTCCATGGACAAATCATTTTCAGAGATACACTTTCCTGAACTAGTGTCACATTCTGTGTTCTCTGGACAGCAGTGTTTTTTGTCCGAACAACAAACCGCCTGTAAATATAATTAAAGACCTAAATAAACTTTTTAGACTCTTCATTATAATAGATTCATCTCACCAAACTATAAAAAGATATTTTCAAGTAAATAAACTTATATGAAATTACTTGTCAGGGTATGCACTACAAATTTGTTGTCCTGGTCATATGAACCTGTCAACATATACTTTTCAATATATATCATATAGGTGAAAAGAAACCTTTTTTTTTTTTTTTTTTTTGCATTTTTGAAGTGAATATTTTGTATAGAGATGTTGAATTTTGTCTTGTAATATCGATGAATGATCAAATATCCCATGATTTGCATGTGCTAAGTTCAGCACTAATTTGGTGAAAAGTTTCAATTTAAAAAAACTGTTAATATCCACCTTACGCCAGTTGAGAAGCAAATAGTACAATGATTAAAGCAAGTAATTGACGCTATTCGTAATAGAAATAAAGAAAATTATAACCCCTAACACAGATAGAGGTCAGAAAGGGCATGAGGAACTGATCAGGATCATGATCTATCAAATCTGACAAAAACCGTAAAACATCAAAAGGATAGAAAGTTGTAGACTTATTCCCAAATTATCTGAGTAACACAAAATTATTCAAACAAGAATGATTCTAGGGAAATTCTTAAAATAACTATAAATATTTGAGCAATGTGTTATAAGGACCTATCTTGCGGCAGCTAATGACCATAATGAAACAATTTCAAGCATATTGCTATCAATACTAATCGATTGTATAAAAGTTATCATTCGCTTAACCTGATTGCAAAACTTAAACGAATTTTAACCGACATGCTATAAAGGAAAAACATTCGACTTACATTGGGACGAGGGCAACATGCGTATGTCCCTTCCTCATCAAGACAACACGTGTTACCGGAGGGACACTCAGTTTTCATGTCTGGACAAATTATACTCAATGTACTAGCAACAGGTCGGCTTTCAGTTTTCTCTAACCATTCAATGGATATGGCGTTATTTCTCGTACACTTTCCTGAGCCAGTCTCACATGTGTAACCGTTGGGACAGCAGTGTTTCTTGTCTGCACAGCAAACAGCCTGTGGACGAAAGTCACAATCTTCCTTATTTTAGAAAGCACTTCTCGCTTAGAAGTAGATCCTCAGACTGAGATATATATCTATATCCTTGGGTGATATATGTTAAGTCCATATTCCTCCATAATATTGCAAAAATCATATTTTATATTTCATTATGACTTATACCAACAATTTATACTATATTCAATCTAATATAACAAGATCCAAATCTTTATAGGCAAATAAATTCATTACGTCTAACGAATCACAGATAGTAGTCCGTAACGGACATCCTATCTGTCTTATCGAATATCTCACAATCATCACACAGAAAAACTGCCTTCTTCGCTACAATTAACTGCTGAATATTGACAAGAAGATAATATCGATTTCAAAAAACAATTTGTACACCACAATCACATATGTAAAAATGATAGCGTATCAAAACATACATTAAAGCCCATTCAATGGTTCATAAAAGAGAACGCCAAAAATTCTTTACGCGAAAGTGGAACGATAACTACAGACGAAAAAGTGATTAGATAAACACACTACACATCGAAATTTTCATAAAAGCTCATTCAATAGGTCATGAGAGAGAACGTCAAAAATGCTTTACGAGAAAGTGGAAAGTACAAAACACACGAAAAACCCATTCGATAAGCATACTATGTTATGATGGTCACCGAAACATATTTCCAAATCTCCAACAAAACAGTTGTTCAGTTAGAAATTGATAATCATTCGCTAGTTTTCTCATGGATAGAAATGGTCGATCTCATTTACGTCTGATTACATATCATATTTAACCGACATCATACGGAGACTGACAATATATTTCGTTTTGTTCAAAGAAAGAAATTTTGTGAATACAGAACTCTCCGATACATAGGATTCCAGACAAGCATAACAATCACAGCAACAGTTACTCATCAACCTCCAATTTTGGGAGATTCGTTAAAGGAGAGACCGAGAATAGAATGTCTTACGTTAGGTACAGGGCAGCATCCGTATTTGTTCCCTTCAATCAGGCAGCATGTTGATCCGGATTTACATTCAGAGTGTCCATCTGGACAGATTACATCGACTGCTGAACTACCAACAGGTCGGCTTTCAGTTTTCTCTAACCATTCAATGGATATGGCGTTATTTCTCGTACACTTTCCTGAGCCAGTCTCACATGTGTAACCGCTGGGACAGCAGTGTTTCTTGTCTGCACAGCAAACAGCCTGTGGACGAAAGTCACAATGTTCCTTATTTTAGAAAGCACTTCTCGCTGAGAAGTAGATCCTCAGACTGAGATATATATCTATATCCTTGGGTGATATATGTTAAGTCCATATTCCTCCATAATATTGCAAAAATCATATTTTATATTTCATTATGACTTATACCAACAATTTATACTATATTCAATCTAATATAACAAGATCCAAATCTTTATAGGCAAATACATTCATTACGTCTAACGAATCACAGATAGTAGTCCGTAACGGACATCCTATCTGTCTTATCGAATATCTCACAATCATCACACAGAAAAACTGCCTTCTTCGCTACAATTAACTGCTGAATATTGACAAGAAGATAATATCGATTTCAAAAAACAATTTGTACACCACAATCACATATGTAAAAATGATAGCGTATCAAAACATACATTAAAGCCCATTCAATGGTTCATAAAAGAGAACGCCAAAAATTCTTTACGCGAAAGTGGAACGATAACTACAGACGAAAAAGTGATTAGATAAACACACTACACGTCGAAATTTTCATAAAAGCTCATTCAATAGGTCATGAGAGAGAACGTCAAAAATACTTTACGAGAAAGTGGAAAGTACAAAACACACGAAAAACCCATTCGATAAGCATACTATGTTATGATGGTCACCGAAACATATTTCCAAATCTCCAACAAAACAGTTATTCAGTTAGAAATTGATAATCATTCGCTAGTTTTCTCATGGATAGAAATGGTCGATCTCATTTACGTCTGATTACATATCATATTTAACCGACATCATACGGAGACTGACAATATATTTCGTTTTGTTCAAAGAAAGAAATTTTGTGAATACAGAACTCTCCGATACATAGGATTCCAGACAAGCATAACAATCACAGCAACAGTTACTCATCAACCTCCAATTTTGGGAGATTCGTTAAAGGAGAGACCGAGAATAGAATGTCTTACGTTAGGTACAGGGCAGCATCCGTATTTGTTCCCTTCAATCAGGCAGCATGTTGATCCGGATTTACATTCAGAGTGTCCATCTGGACAGATTACATCGACTGCTGAACTACCAACAGGTCGGCTTTCAGTTTTCTCTAACCATTCAATGGATATGGCGTTATTTCTCGTACACTTTCCTGAGCCAGTCTCACATGTGTAACCGCTGGGACAGCAGTGTTTCTTGTCTGCACAGCAAACAGCCTGTGGACGAAAGTCACAATGTTCCTTATTTTAGAAAGCACTTCTCGCTGAGAAGTAGATCCTCAGACTGAGATATATATCTATATCCTTGGGTGATATATGTTAAGTCCATATTCCTCCATAATATTGCAAAAATCATATTTTATATTTCATTATGACTTATACCAACAATTTATACTATATTCAATCTAATATAACAAGATCCAAATCTTTATAGGCAAATACATTCATTACGTCTAACGAATCACAGATAGTAGTCCGTAACGGACATCCTATCTGTCTTATCGAATATCTCACAATCATCACACAGAAAAACTGCCTTCTTCGCTACAATTAACTGCTGAATATTGACAAGAAGATAATATCGATTTCAAAAAACAATTTGTACACCACAATCACATATGTAAAAATGATAGCGTATCAAAACATACATTAAAGCCCATTCAATGGTTCATAAAAGAGAACGCCAAAAATTCTTTACGCGAAAGTGGAACGATAACTACAGACGAAAAAGTGATTAGATAAACACACTACACGTCGAAATTTTCATAAAAGCTCATTCAATAGGTCATGAGAGAGAACGTCAAAAATACTTTACGAGAAAGTGGAAAGTACAAAACACACGAAAAACCCATTCGATAAGCATACTATGTTATGATGGTCACCGAAACATATTTCCAAATCTCCAACAAAACAGTTATTCAGTTAGAAATTGATAATCATTCGCTAGTTTTCTCATGGATAGAAATGGTCGATCTCATTTACGTCTGATTACATATCATATTTAACCGACATCATACGGAGACTGACAATATATTTCGTTTTGTTCAAAGAAAGAAATTTTGTGAATACAGAACTCTCCGATACATAGGATTCCAGACAAGCATAACAATCACAGCAACAGTTACTCATCAACCTCCAATTTTGGGAGATTCGTTAAAGGAGAGACCGAGAATAGAATGTCTTACGTTAGGTACAGGGCAGCATCCGTATTTGTTCCCTTCAATCAGGCAGCATGTTGATCCGGATTTACATTCAGAGTGTCCATCTGGACAGATTACATCGACTGCTGAACTACCAACAGGTCGGCTTTCAGTTTTCTCTAACCATTCAATGGATATGGCGTTATTTCTCGTACACTTTCCTGAGCCAGTCTCACATGTGTAACCGTTGGGACAGCAGTGTTTCTTGTCTGCACAGCAAACAGCCTGTGGACGAAAGTCACAATGTTCCTTATTTTAGAAAGCACTTCTCGCTTAGAAGTAGATCCTCAGACTGAGATATATATCTATATCCTTGGGTGATATATGTTAAGTCCATATTCCTCCATAATATTGCAAAAATCATATTTTATATTTCATTATGACTTATACCAACAATTTATACTATATTCAATCTAATATAACAAGATCCAAATCTTTATAGGCAAATAAATTCATTACGTCTAACGAATCACAGATAGTAGTCCGTAACGGACATCCTATCTGTCTTATCGAATATCTCACAATCATCACACAGAAAAACTGCCTTCTTCGCTACAATTAACTGCTGAATATTGACAAGAAGATAATATCGATTTCAAAAAACAATTTGTACACCACAATCACATATGTAAAAATGATAGCGTATCAAAACATACATTAAAGCCCATTCAATGGTTCATAAAAGAGAACGCCAAAAATTCTTTACGCGAAAGTGGAACGATAACTACAGACGAAAAAGTGATTAGATAAACACACTACACGTCGAAATTTTCATAAAAGCTCATTCAATAGGTCATGAGAGAGAACGTCAAAAATGCTTTACGAGAAAGTGGAAAGTACAAAACACACGAAAAACCCATTCGATAAGCATACTATGTTATGATGGTCACCGAAACATATTTCCAAATCTCCAACAAAACAGTTATTCAGTTAGAAATTGATAATCATTCGCTAGTTTTCTCATGGATAGAAATGGTCGATCTCATTTACGTCTGATTACATATCATATTTAACCGACATCATACGGAGACTGACAATATATTTCGTTTTGTTCAAAGAAAGAAATTTTGTGAATACAGAACTCTCCGATACATAGGATTCCAGACAAGCATAACAATCACAGCAACAGTTACTCATCAACCTCCAATTTTGGGAGATTCGTTAAAGGAGAGACCGAGAATAGAATGTCTTACGTTAGGTACAGGGCAGCATCCGTATTTGTTCCCTTCAATCAGGCAGCATGTTGATCCGGATTTACATTCAGAGTGTCCATCTGGACAGATTACATCGACTGCTGAACTACCAACAGGTCGGCTTTCAGTTTTCTCTAACCATTCAATGGCTATGGCGTTATTTCTCGTACACTTTCCTGAGCCAGTCTCACATGTGTAACCGTTGGGACAGCAGTGTTTCTTGTCTGCACAGCAAACAGCCTGTGGACGAAAGTCACAATGTTCCTTATTTTAGAAAGCACTTCTCGCTTAGAAGTAGATCCTCAGACTGAGATATATATCTATATCCTTGGGTGATATATGTTAAGTCCATATTCCTCCATAATATTGCAAAAATCATATTTTATATTTCATTATGACTTATACCAACAATTTATACTATATTCAATCTAATATAACAAGATCCAAATCTTTATAGGCAAATAAATTCATTACGTCTAACGAATCACAGATAGTAGTCCGTAACGGACATCCTATCTGTCTTATCGAATATCTCACAATCATCACACAGAAAAACTGCCTTCTTCGCTACAATTAACTGCTGAATATTGACAAGAAGATAATATCGATTTCAAAAAACAATTTGTACACCACAATCACATATGTAAAAATGATAGCGTATCAAAACATACATTAAAGTCCATTCAATGGTTCATAAAAGAGAACGCCAAAAATTTTTTTACGCGAAAGTGGAACGATAACTACAGACGAAAAAGTGATTAGATAAACACACTTCGCATCGAAATTTTCATAAAAGCTCATTCAATAGGTCATGAGAGAGAACGTCAAAAATGCTTTACGAGAAAGTGGAAAGTACAAAACACACGAAAAACCCATTCGATAAGCATACTATGTTATGATGGTCACCGAAACATATTTCCAAATCTCCAACAAAACAGTTATTCAGTTAGAAATTGATAATCATTCGCTAGTTTTCTCATGGATAGAAATGGTCGATCTCATTTACGTCTGATTACATATCATATTTAACCGACATCATACGGAGACTGACAATATATTTCGTTTTGTTCAAAGAAAGAAATTTTGTGAATACAGAACTCTCCGATACATAGGATTCCAGACAAGCATAACAATCACAGCAACAGTTACTCATCAACCTCCAATTTTGGGAGATTCGTTAAAGGAGAGACCGAGAATAGAATGTCTTACGTTAGGTACAGGGCAGCATCCGTATTTGTTCCCTTCAATCAGGCAGCATGTTGATCCGGATTTACATTCAGAGTGTCCATCTGGACAGATTACATCGACTGCTGAACTACCAACAGGTCGGCTTTCAGTTTTCTCTAACCATTCAATGGATATGGCGTTATTTCTCGTACACTTTCCTGAGCCAGTCTCACATGTGTAACCGTTGGGACAGCAGTGTTTCTTGTCTGCACAGCAAACAGCCTGTGGACGAAAGTCACAATCTTCCTTATTTTAAAAAGCACTTCTCGCTTAGAAGTAGATCCTCAGACTGAGATATATATCTATATCCTTGGGTGATATATGTTAAGTCCATATTCCTCCATAATATTGCAAAAATCATATTTTATATTTCATTATGACTTATACCAACAATTTATACTATATTCAATCTAATATAACAAGATCCAAATCTTTATAGGCAAATAAATTCATTACGTCTAACGAATCACAGATAGTAGTCCGTAACGGACATCCTATCTGTCTTATCGAATATCTCACAATCATCACACAGAAAAACTGCCTTCTTCGCTACAATTAACTGCTGAATATTGACAAGAAGATAATATCGATTTCAAAAAACAATTTGTACACCACAATCACATATGTAAAAATGATAGCGTATCAAAACATACATTAAAGCCCATTCAATGGTTCATAAAAGAGAACGCCAAAAATTCTTTACGCGAAAGTGGAACGATAACTACAGACGAAAAAGTGATTAGATAAACACACTTCGCATCGAAATCTAAATAAAAGCTCATTCAATAGGTCATGAGAGAGAACGTCAAAAATGCTTTACGAGAAAGTGGAAAGTACAAAACACACGAAAAACCCATTCGATAAGCATACTATGTTATGATGGTCACCGAAACATATTTCCAAATCTCCAACAAAACAGTTATTCAGTTAGAAATTGATAATCATTCGCTAGTTTTCTCATGGATAGAAATGGTCGATCTCATTTACGTCTGATTACATATCATATTTAACCGACATCATACGGAGACTGACAATATATTTCGTTTTGTTCAAAGAAAGAAATTTTGTGAATACAGAACTCTCCGATACATAGGATTCCAGACAAGCATAACAATCACAGCAACAGTTACTCATCAACCTCCAATTTTGGGAGATTCGTTAAAGGAGAGACCGAGAATAGAATGTCTTACGTTAGGTACAGGGCAGCATCCGTATTTGTTCCCTTCAATCAGGCAGCATGTTGATCCGGATTTACATTCAGAGTGTCCATCTGGACAGATTACATCGACTGCTGAACTACCAACAGGTCGGCTTTCAGTTTTCTCTAACCATTCAATGGCTATGGCGTTATTTCTCGTACACTTTCCTGAGCCAGTCTCACATGTGTAACCGTTGGGACAGCAGTGTTTCTTGTCTGCACAGCAAACAGCCTGTGGACGAAAGTCACAATCTTCCTTATTTTAAAAAGCACTTCTCGCTTAGAAGTAGATCCTCAGACTGAGATATATATCTATATCCTTGGGTGATATATGTTAAGTCCATATTCCTCCATAATATTGCAAAAATCATATTTTATATTTCATTATGACTTATACCAACAATTTATACTATATTCAATCTAATATAACAAGATCCAAATCTTTATAGGCAAATAAATTCATTACGTCTAACGAATCACAGATAGTAGTCCGTAACGGACATCCTATCTGTCTTATCGAATATCTCACAATCATCACACAGAAAAACTGCCTTCTTCGCTACAATTAACTGCTGAATATTGACAAGAAGATAATATCGATTTCAAAAAACAATTTGTACACCACAATCACATATGTAAAAATGATAGCGTATCAAAACATACATTAAAGCCCATTCAATGGTTCATAAAAGAGAACGCCAAAAATTCTTTACGCGAAAGTGGAACGATAACTACAGACGAAAAAGTGATTAGATAAACACACTACACATCGAAATTTTCATAAAAGCTCATTCAATAGGTCATGAGAGAGAACGTCAAAAATGCTTTACGAGAAAGTGGAAAGTACAAAACACACGAAAAACCCATTCGATAAGCATACTATGTTATGATGGTCACCGAAACATATTTCCAAATCTCCAACAAAACAGTTATTCAGTTAGAAATTGATAATCATTCGCTAGTTTTCTCATGGATAGAAATGGTCGATCTCATTTACGTCTGATTACATATCATATTTAACCGACATCATACGGAGACTGACAATATATTTCGTTTTGTTCAAAGAAAGAAATTTTGTGAATACAGAACTCTCCGATACATAGGATTCCAGACAAGCATAACAATCACAGCAACAGTTACTCATCAACCTCCAATTTTGGGAGATTCGTTAAAGGAGAGACCGAGAATAGAATGTCTTACGTTAGGTACAGGGCAGCATCCGTATTTGTTCCCTTCAATCAGGCAGCATGTTGATCCGGATTTACATTCAGAGTGTCCATCTGGACAGATTACATCGACTGCTGAACTACCAACAGGTCGGCTTTCAGTTTTCTCTAACCATTCAATGGCTATGGCGTTATTTCTCGTACACTTTCCTGAGCCAGTCTCACATGTGTAACCGTTGGGACAGCAGTGTTTCTTGTCTGCACAGCAAACAGCCTGTGGACGAAAGTCACAATCTTCCTTATTTTAAAAAGCACTTCTCGCTTAGAAGTAGATCCTCAGACTGAGATATATATCTATATCCTTGGGTGATATATGTTAAGTCCATATTCCTCCATAATATTGCAAAAATCATATTTTATATTTCATTATGACTTATACCAACAATTTATACTATATTCAATCTAATATAACAAGATCCAAATCTTTATAGGCAAATAAATTCATTACGTCTAACGAATCACAGATAGTAGTCCGTAACGGACATCCTATCTGTCTTATCGAATATCTCACAATCATCACACAGAAAAACTGCCTTCTTCGCTACAATTAACTGCTGAATATTGACAAGAAGATAATATCGATTTCAAAAAACAATTTGTACACCACAATCACATATGTAAAAATGATAGCGTATCAAAACATACATTAAAGCCCATTCAATGGTTCATAAAAGAGAACGCCAAAAATTCTTTACGCCAAAGTGGAACGATAACTACAGACGAAAAAGTGATTAGATAAACACACTACACGTCGAAATTTTCATAAAAGCTCATTCAATAGGTCATGAGAGAGAACGTCAAAAATGCTTTACGAGAAAGTGGAAAGTACAAAACACACGAAAAACCCATTCGATAAGCATACTATGTTATGATGGTCACCGAAACATATTTCCAAATCTCCAACAAAACAGTTATTCAGTTAGAAATTGATAATCATTCGCTAGTTTTCTCATGGATAGAAATGGTCGATCTCATTTACGTCTGATTACATATCATATTTAACCGACATCATACGGAGACTGACAATATATTTCGTTTTGTTCAAAGAAAGAAATTTTGTGAATACAGAACTCTCCGATACATAGGATTCCAGACAAGCATAACAATCACAGCAACAGTTACTCATCAACCTCCAATTTTGGGAGATTCGTTAAAGGAGAGACCGAGAATAGAATGTCTTACGTTAGGTACAGGGCAGCATCCGTATTTGTTCCCTTCAATCAGGCAGCATGTTGATCCGGATTTACATTCAGAGTGTCCATCTGGACAGATTACATCGACTGCTGAACTACCAACAGGTCGGCTTTCAGTTTTCTCTAACCATTCAATGGATATGGCGTTATTTCTCGTACACTTTCCTGAGCCAGTCTCACATGTGTAACCGTTGGGACAGCAGTGTTTCTTGTCTGCACAGCAAACAGCCTGTGGACGAAAGTCACAATCTTCCTTATTTTAAAAAGCACTTCTCGCTTAGAAGTAGATCCTCAGACTGAGATATATATCTATATCCTTGGGTGATATATGTTAAGTCATGTTAAGTCCATATTCCTCCATAATATTGCAAAAATCATATTTTATATTTCATTATGACTTATACCAACAATTTATACTATATTCAATCTAATATAACAAGATCCAAATCTTTATAGGCAAATAAATTCATTACGTCTAACGAATCACAGATAGTAGTCCGTAACGGACATCCTATCTGTCTTATCGAATATCTCACAATCATCACACAGAAAAACTGCCTTCTTCGCTACAATTAACTGCTGAATATTGACAAGAAGATAATATCGATTTCAAAAAACAATTTGTACACCACAATCACATATGTAAAAATGATAGCGTATCAAAACATACATTAAAGCCCATTCAATGGTTCATAAAAGAGAACGCCAAAAATTCTTTACGCCAAAGTGGAACGATAACTACAGACGAAAAAGTGATTAGATAAACACACTACACGTCGAAATTTTCATAAAAGCTCATTCAATAGGTCATGAGAGAGAACGTCAAAAATGCTTTACGAGAAAGTGGAAAGTACAAAACACACGAAAAACCCATTCGATAAGCATACTATGTTATGATGGTCACCGAAACATATTTCCAAATCTCCAACAAAACAGTTATTCAGTTAGAAATTGCTAATCATTCGCTAGTTTTCTCATGGATAGAAATGGTCGATCTCATTTACGTCTGATTACATATCATATTTAACCGACATCATACGGAGACTGACAATATATTTCGTTTTGTTCAAAGAAAGAAATTTTGTGAATACAGAACTCTCCGATACATAGGATTCCAGACAAGCATAACAATCACAGCAACAGTTACTCATCAACCTCCAATTTTGGGAGATTCGTTAAAGGAGAGACCGAGAATAGAATGTCTTACGTTAGGTACAGGGCAGCATCCGTATTTGTTCCCTTCAATCAGGCAGCATGTTGATCCGGATTTACATTCAGAGTGTCCATCTGGACAGATTACATCGACTGCTGAACTACCAACAGGTCGGCTTTCAGTTTTCTCTAACCATTCAATGGCTATGGCGTTATTTCTCGTACACTTTCCTGAGCCAGTCTCACATGTGTAACCGTTGGGACAGCAGTGTTTCTTGTCTGCACAGCAAACAGCCTGTGGACGAAAGTCACAATCTTCCTTATTTTTTAAAAAGCACTTCTCGCTTAGAAGTAGATCCTCAGACTGAGATATATATCTATATCCTTGGGTGATATATGTTAAGTCCATATTCCTCCATAATATTGCAAAAATCATATTTTATATTTCATTATGACTTATACCAACAATTTATACTATATTCAATCTAATATAACAAGATCCAAATCTTTATAGGCAAATAAATTCATTACGTCTAACGAATCACAGATAGTAGTCCGTAACGGACATCCTATCTGTCTTATCGAATATCTCACAATCATCACACAGAAAAACTGCCTTCTTCGCTACAATTAACTGCTGAATATTGACAAGAAGATAATATCGATTTCAAAAAACAATTTGTACACCACAATCACATATGTAAAAATGATAGCGTATCAAAACATACATTAAAGCCCATTCAATGGTTCATAAAAGAGAACGCCAAAAATTCTTTACGCCAAAGTGGAACGATAACTACAGACGAAAAAGTGATTAGATAAACACACTACACGTCGAAATTTTCATAAAAGCTCATTCAATAGGTCATGAGAGAGAACGTCAAAAATGCTTTACGAGAAAGTGGAAAGTACAAAACACACGAAAAACCCATTCGATAAGCATACTATGTTATGATGGTCACCGAAACATATTTCCAAATCTCCAACAAAACAGTTATTCAGTTAGAAATTGCTAATCATTCGCTAGTTTTCTCATGGATAGAAATGGTCGATCTCATTTACGTCTGATTACATATCATATTTAACCGACATCATACGGAGACTGACAATATATTTCGTTTTGTTCAAAGAAAGAAATTTTGTGAATACAGAACTCTCCGATACATAGGATTCCAGACAAGCATAACAATCACAGCAACAGTTACTCATCAACCTCCAATTTTGGGAGATTCGTTAAAGGAGAGACCGAGAATAGAATGTCTTACGTTAGGTACAGGGCAGCATCCGTATTTGTTCCCTTCAATCAGGCAGCATGTTGATCCGGATTTACATTCAGAGTGTCCATCTGGACAGATTACATCGACTGCTGAACTACCAACAGGTCGGCTTTCAGTTTTCTCTAACCATTCAATGGCTATGGCGTTATTTCTCGTACACTTTCCTGAGCCAGTCTCACATGTGTAACCGTTGGGACAGCAGTGTTTCTTGTCTGCACAGCAAACAGCCTGTGGACGAAAGTCACAATCTTCCTTATTTTAAAAAGCACTTCTCGCTTAGAAGTAGATCCTCAGACTGAGATATATATCTATATCCTTGGGTGATATATGTTAAGTCCATATTCCTCCATAATATTGCAAAAATCATATTTTATATTTCATTATGACTTATACCAACAATTTATACTATATTCAATCTAATATAACAAGATCCAAATCTTTATAGGCAAATAAATTCATTACGTCTAACGAATCACAGATAGTAGTCCGTAACGGACATCCTATCTGTCTTATCGAATATCTCACAATCATCACACAGAAAAACTGCCTTCTTCGCTACAATTAACTGCTGAATATTGACAAGAAGATAATATCGATTTCAAAAAACAATTTGTACACCACAATCACATATGTAAAAATGATAGCGTATCAAAACATACATTAAAGCCCATTCAATGGTTCATAAAAGAGAACGCCAAAAATTCTTTACGCGAAAGTGGAACGATAACTACAGACGAAAAAGTGATTAGATAAACACACTACACATCGAAATTTTCATAAAAGCTCATTCAATAGGTCATGAGAGAGAACGTCAAAAATGCTTTACGAGAAAGTGGAAAGTACAAAACACACGAAAAACCCATTCGATAAGCATACTATGTTATGATGGTCACCTAAACATATTTCCAAATCTCCAACAAAACAGTTATTCAGTTAGAAATTGATAATCATTCGCTAGTTTTCTCATGGATAGAAATGGTCGATCTCATTTACGTCTGATTACATATCATATTTAACCGACATCATACGGAGACTGACAATATATTTCGTTTTGTTCAAAGAAAGAAATTTTGTGAATACAGAACTCTCCGATACATAGGATTCCAGACAAGCATAACAATCACAGCAACAGTTACTCATCAACCTCCAATTTTGGGAGATTCGTTAAAGGAGAGACCGAGAATAGAATGTCTTACGTTAGGTACAGGGCAGCATCCGTATTTGTTCCCTTCAATCAGGCAGCATGTTGATCCGGATTTACATTCAGAGTGTCCATCTGGACAGATTACATCGACTGCTGAACTACCAACAGGTCGGCTTTCAGTTTTCTCTAACCATTCAATGGATATGGCGTTATTTCTCGTACACTTTCCTGAGCCAGTCTCACATGTGTAACCGTTGGGACAGCAGTGTTTCTTGTCTGCACAGCAAACAGCCTGTGGACGAAAGTCACAATCTTCCTTATTTTTTAAAAAGCACTTCTCGCTTAGAAGTAGATCCTCAGACTGAGATATATATCTATATCCTTGGGTGATATATGTTAAGTCCATATTCCTCCATAATATTGCAAAAATCATATTTTATATTTCATTATGACTTATACCAACAATTTATACTATATTCAATCTAATATAACAAGATCCAAATCTTTATAGGCAAATAAATTCATTACGTCTAACGAATCACAGATAGTAGTCCGTAACGGACATCCTATCTGTCTTATCGAATATCTCACAATCATCACACAGAAAAACTGCCTTCTTCGCTACAATTAACTGCTGAATATTGACAAGAAGATAATATCGATTTCAAAAAACAATTTGTACACCACAATCACATATGTAAAAATGATAGCGTATCAAAACATACATTAAAGCCCATTCAATGGTTCATAAAAGAGAACGCCAAAAATTCTTTACGCGAAAGTGGAACGATAACTACAGACGAAAAAGTGATTAGATAAACACACTACACATCGAAATTTTCATAAAAGCTCATTCAATAGGTCATGAGAGAGAACGTCAAAAATGCTTTACGAGAAAGTGGAAAGTACAAAACACACGAAAAACCCATTCGATAAGCATACTATGTTATGATGGTCACCTAAACATATTTCCAAATCTCCAACAAAACAGTTATTCAGTTAGAAATTGATAATCATTCGCTAGTTTTCTCATGGATAGAAATGGTCGATCTCATTTACGTCTGATTACATATCATATTTAACCGACATCATACGGAGACTGACAATATATTTCGTTTTGTTCAAAGAAAGAAATTTTGTGAATACAGAACTCTCCGATACATAGGATTCCAGACAAGCATAACAATCACAGCAACAGTTACTCATCAACCTCCAATTTTGGGAGATTCGTTAAAGGAGAGACCGAGAATAGAATGTCTTACGTTAGGTACAGGGCAGCATCCGTATTTGTTCCCTTCAATCAGGCAGCATGTTGATCCGGATTTACATTCAGAGTGTCCATCTGGACAGATTACATCGACTGCTGAACTACCAACAGGTCGGCTTTCAGTTTTCTCTAACCATTCAATGGCTATGGCGTTATTTCTCGTACACTTTCCTGAGCCAGTCTCACATGTGTAACCGTTGGGACAGCAGTGTTTCTTGTCTGCACAGCAAACAGCCTGTGGACGAAAGTCACAATCTTCCTTATTTTTTAAAAAGCACTTCTCGCTTAGAAGTAGATCCTCAGACTGAGATATATATCTATATCCTTGGGTGATATATGTTAAGTCCATATTCCTCCATAATATTGCAAAAATCATATTTTATATTTCATTATGACTTATACCAACAATTTATACTATATTCAATCTAATATAACAAGATCCAAATCTTTATAGGCAAATAAATTCATTACGTCTAACGAATCACAGATAGTAGTCCGTAACGGACATCCTATCTGTCTTATCGAATATCTCACAATCATCACACAGAAAAACTGCCTTCTTCGCTACAATTAACTGCTGAATATTGACAAGAAGATAATATCGATTTCAAAAAACAATTTGTACACCACAATCACATATGTAAAAATGATAGCGTATCAAAACATACATTAAAGCCCATTCAATGGTTCATAAAAGAGAACGCCAAAAATTCTTTACGCGAAAGTGGAACGATAACTACAGACGAAAAAGTGATTAGATCAACACACTTCGCATCGAAATTTTCATAAAAGCTCATTCAATAGGTCATGAGAGAGAACGTCAAAAATGCTTTACGAGAAAGTGGAAAGTACAAAACACACGAAAAACCCATTCGATAAGCATACTATGTTATGATGGTCACCTAAACATATTTCCAAATCTCCAACAAAACAGTTATTCAGTTAGAAATTGATAATCATTCGCTAGTTTTCTCATGGATAGAAATGGTCGATCTCATTTACGTCTGATTACATATCATATTTAACAGACATCATACGGAGACTGACAATATACTTCGTTTTGTTCAAAGAAAGAAATTTTGTGAATACAGAACTCTCCGATACATAGGATTCCAGACAAGCATAACAATCACAGCAACAGTTACTCATCAACCTCCAATTTTGGGAGATTCGTTAAAGGAGAGACCGAGAATAGAATGTCTTACGTTAGGTACAGGGCAGCATCCGTATTTGTTCCCTTCAATCAGGCAGCATGTTGATCCGGATTTACATTCAGAGTGTCCATCTGGACAAATTACATCGACTGCTGAACTACCAACAGGTCGGCTTTCAGTTTTCTCTAACCATTCAATGGCTATGGCGTTATTTCTCGTACACTTTCCTGAGCCAGTCTCACATGTGTAACCGTTGGGACAGCAGTGTTTCTTGTCTGCACAGCAAACAGCCTGTGGACGAAAGTCACAATCTTCCTTATTTTAAAAAGCACTTCTCGCTTAGAAGTAGATCCTCAGACTGAGATATATATCTATATCCTTGGGTGATATATGTTAAGTCCATATTCCTCCCTAATATTGCAAAAATCATATTTTATATTTCATTATGACTTATACCAACAATTTATACTATATTCAATCTAATATAACAAGATCCAAATCTTTATAGGCAAATAAATTCATTACGTCTAACGAATCACAGATAGTAGTCCGTAACGGACATCCTATCTGTCTTATCGAATATCTCACAATCATCACACAGAAAAACTGCCTTCTTCGCTACAATTAACTGCTGATTATTGACAAGAAGATAATATCGATTTCAAAAAACAATTTGTACACCACAATCACATATGTAAAAATGATAGCGTATCAAAACATACATTAGCTTTAATGGTTCATAAAAGAGAACGCCAAAAATTCTTTACGCCAAAGTGGAACGATAACTACAGACGAAAAAGTGATTAGATAAACACACTACACGTCGAAATTTTCATAAAAGCTCATTCAATAGGTCATGAGAGAGAACGTCAAAAATGCTTTACGAGAAAGTGGAAAGTACAAAACACACGAAAAACCCATTCGATAAGCATACTATGTTATGATGGTCACCTAAACATATTTCCAAATCTCCAACAAAACAGTTATTCAGTTAGAAATTGATAATCTTTCGCTAGTTTTCTCATGGATAGAAATGGTCGATCTCATTTACGTCTGATTTCATATCATATTTAACCGACATCATACGGAGACTGACAATATATTTCGTTTTGTTCAAAGAAAGAAATTTTGTGAATACAGAACTCTCCGATACATAGGATTCCAGACAAGCATAACAATCACAGCAACAGTTACTCATCAACCTCCAATTTTGGGAGATTCGTTAAAGGAGAGACCGAGAATAGAATGTCTTACGTTAGGTACAGGGCAGCATCCGTATTTGTTCCCTTCAATCAGGCAGCATGTTGATCCGGATTTACATTCAGAGTGTCCATCTGGACAGATTACATCGACTGCTGAACTACCAACAGGTCGGCTTTCAGTTTTCTCTAACCATTCAATGGATATGGCGTTATTTCTCGTACACTTTCCTGAGCCAGTCTCACATGTGTAACCGTTGGGACAGCAGTGTTTCTTGTCTGCACAGCAAACAGCCTGTGGGCAAAATTCTCTAAATTATTATCATACAAAAATACATTTGGCTGTTCTCCATGTGTCAGATTTATCCTGACAATTGTATGCAAAATAGAGAATACATGATCAATGTCTTAAAATATAAGTTGTTTTTTTAGCCAGGGTGCAGAAAGACAAACAATGGCGGGGCGCTTCTGTCTTTCTGTCCCGAGTCAAAATGCAGCCGATATTTTAAGACACTGACAATGTACTCTATGTACTCCTGTAACATTGATTGAAAATCGCTTTTATCGAAACAGTTTCGCTGTTCAATTTGTGTTTACCTGATGTTGGCATTACGCTGAATTTTGCCAGATGGCATACCCCAAAATAATTGCTCCTCGCGGAAAGATATTTTCAAACTTCAACAGATTTATAAGCAATTTTTTGGATTTCAATAAAATCTTGTTCAGTGTAACATGTAAGAAATGGCTTATCTTAACAACTGTTTATCAATACAAGCAAAGTCATGTTAAAATACAGCTGTTTTCAGACACTATATGTGGCAGGTGTTTATTTCTGACAATATCGGCGCCAGTTGCAGGATAAAAAGATATAGTTTGATGCTGAAATCCATGACAGCTACATAGTATTACAAACAAAGTGATTTTTATATCTAAGACGTGTTTATTAAAATGTAGTCTTTAAGTGAAACACACATCCAAAATATTTCTTAATCATTAACCAAAAACAACTTTTTACAAAAATTTTTTGAGTGCTTTATACCTAATTATGCATTAACTTACCTTACTTTTTGCTAAAATAATAACTGTAAACAGATAGTTATGTAATAGAAAACTTCAATTTATTATGCTTATTTAAAGATATGTTGCATTTCATTTTTGTTGTTCCTAAATGGATGAGATATATATTTTGACATGCTGTTTTGACCTACATTCGGTTGTGGACAGCATCCATACTTCCCCTCTTCTCCAAGACAACAAGTGTTTCCTGTTGGACATTCTGATCTCCCATCAGGACAGACCACATTCCGGACAGATAATGAATTAATTTTCATCTTTGTCAGCCATTGAATAACCTCATCTGTTCCTTCCTTCCTACAATTCCTTTCCTGGACATTACAAATATATCCCATCGGACAACAGTGGCCATCCTTGTCTCCACAGCAGACACCCTACAAATGTATCTTCAAACTACATATATGTTGAGATTTGATATAGCAATCATAGAAAAGTATACAGTATGTCTAGGTATAACATTTCCTTCGTTCACATATATATATATTTATAAGTCTAAAATAAAATACCATCAACAACATTGCTGTGTGTGATACTAATTTTTTATTAAGTTTGCAATCAATATAATACTTGCAGGATTTTACTTAGTAAAAATAAAATTTATTTTAAATATTGTTTTGTCTAAACAGTTTTTCATTTTTACCACCTTTTATCAGATTAATTTTACTCAAGATTTACAAATAACACAAAAAAGTGATATAAACATTGACACATTCTCATGCAAGTACACCGATTTACAGTGACAAGGTCTAAATGCTCTATTGGCCAGTTTGTACCTTCGACAAGGGGCAGCATCCATATTTGAAAGTTTGCCATGGGTTGTTCAATTTACAGCAGGTCTGACCAGGGTTACAAATGGATCGGTGGTCTGGGCAAAGATGTTGACCACTAACCTGGTAAGTGATGGACATACTATTAGACTCCTTCTCCAACCAGTCCATTAAATGGTCACCCTTGACACATTTTCCTATACTTGTCTCACATTTGTGACCCTCTGGACAACAATGTTTCTTATCTGTACAACACACAGCCTGCACCAAAGGAAAATAACATTCTAAATTATCTGTATATTTCCTGCAATAAGGCTTCAGTTTCATTATAATATCTTTGTCTTGTAATAATCTAGGCTCCCTACTTAAAAAGATTATATTTTGTCTTCTAGGCTGCAGGCAGGACCAATATGGTGAACTGCATGACACAAGCATGACCCCATTGCAGGATCAAATTTCTAACTGTTATTCTTAAATTCTTAAACTTACATTAGGAACTGGGCAGCATCCATAGGAGCCAGATATTCCCTGGCAGCATGTCTGTCCAGTCATACATTGGCTCTTGTCTGGACATATAACAGAGGACTGCATTATCTCTTCAGCAACAACTTTGAGATCAGTGGTTATCTCCCTTGATATGTCATGGTTGTTTTCCACAGAAAGATCAATTATATGATAACCTTGCATGCATGTTCCAACTTTAGTGCCACATTTGTACCCAAAAGGACAACAATGTTTCCTGTCAGCGCAGCAAACAGCCTATCATAAAAGATAATCAACACAGAAATAAAATCATAGCATCTTAGTTCACAACATTACTTCACCTCCATAAATCAAGAAGAATTTCCATTCACATTCTTTATTTTATTTGATTCTTTGAAATCAGTTTTAAACTAGTCAGTAATGTTTTCCTTGAAAATAGAAAATACAACGCCTCACACTACAGTATTGAAGAGAGAAGGTAGATATTGTTTTCATGACATATAAATACAACAAATTTGGTGAATTACAGTCCCATACCAACACATTGTCTCACAAAGGTTTTGTGATTAGTAGTTTAGAATATAGGTTTCAGATGTTTTAAAGATTAAAGTTTGAAATAAAGGTAAAATTCGCCTATGTTTGTTACTCAACACACTGTCTTCCTAGGAAAACCCATAACCCAAGTATGAAATTCCCATGCTTAGTAATATAGACAATAGGGCTCAGACAAACTTTATCTTTGATGAAGGTCAAAGGTCAAAACATAGGTCAAACTGACCTACTTTTCAAATACACCAAAATGTACCATATCACAAGTATTAAGTTTCCATGGTCAACTTTATCTTTGACGTAGGTCAAAGATCTAAATGTAGGTCAGAGTGACCTACTTTGATAAGTGGCACATCGTCTCACCAAGGTGAACCCTGTGATCAGTGGTGTCGAAGATAGGACCCAAACAAGACAGTGAAAGGACAAAAGGACAGCCAGATACAATCGAAGACTATAGTTCCTTCTAGTTCTCAGTGTTGGACTAATAAAAGCTTACCTTTTGCAATGGACAGCATCCATAGATGTTGACTCCTTTCATACAGCAGGTTTGACCAGCAGCGCACTGAGTTTTGTCAGGACAAACAATGTTTGCCTTAACTTTTATGTTTGTGGCCTCAACCTTCCGTGATCGTGGTAACTGGAAGCCATTTCTATCCTCACAAAGTCCAGTACTAAGGCACTTGTAATTGGCAGGACAGCAATGTACCTTGTCCTCACAACAGAGGGCCTAAATTTTGTACAGAAAAACAAGCATTATTTACATGTTCTAGATCATTAAAATAATTACCTTTGCACATTAAACATAACATATTGGTTTGCCTGGAACTACTTATAGATCACAACTGTTAATTTGCTTTATCATGCTATCTTGCTAGTCTGCCTCTTTGTTTGAAAATGATTATATATGGTTGCATCCTTTTCAGACAACCCCCACCCCATTATCTCCCCCGACTCCATCATAATTAAATCCTCCAACCACTATAACGATTGTCACCAGATGTGTCTTACAATTGTTGTTTCAGCTATTTTGCCATGGTTTACACCTCAAATCTGAATATATCAGGGAAATGTAAACATTTTGTCAATTAGAAATTGATCATGCCAATCAAAGTACTGTAAATCACTCAGATTTCACAAATATTTTATTTTGTGAACTTAACTCTCCAAACATATTCAACAAGAAATCCCAGAGGGATCTTGGCGCCCACCATTTGAGGATCTGTTTTCAGTTCTTGAAGATTTGTTTATTTTTTTTTTTTGTTACAGGTTTTGTAAATGTTCATGAACTGGTCTTCATTGAATGTTCTCAATGATGGCACAATATATTTTTATTAAGCACCTTTTAGCAAATATCATTTGAAAAAGATCCCAAAGTATTATTAGATAGCAGTCAGTTACAGGTGGATAATGGACATTGTCTTGAATCAATATGATAGAATATCGAAGAAAATATGCTTGTGCTGTATAACTGTCGACATCCAAGATGGCTGCCTGTGGGCCAACTTGATTTCAAATCAGTCCAAAAAAAGTACAATACACAACTAGGGACCAAGGGAAACCAATACCTATGAAATATCAGAAGTATCCATCCAGTACTTCCTCAGAAATAGCGGTAACAAGATTTTACTCTCAAAATCCAAGATGGCTGCCTGTCAGCCATCTTGATTTCAGATCAGTCCAAAAAGGTACAATGCACAACTAGGGACCAAGGGGAACCTGCATATGAAATTTGAGAAAGATCCATCCAGTACGTTCCAAGAAATAGCGATAACAAACTTTTACTTCCAAAATCCAAGATGGCTGCCTGTCAGCCATCTTGATTTCAGATCAGTCCAAAAAGGTACAATGCACAACTAGGGACCTGCATATGAAATTTGAGAAAGATCCATCCAGCACTTTCCCAGAAATAGCGGTAACAAACTTTTACTTCCAAAATCAAAGATGCACAACTCCAAAAAAGGTACAATGACTAGGGACCAAGAGGAAACTGCATATGAAATTTGAGAAAGATCCATCCAGTACTTTCCCAGAAATAGCGGTAACAAACTTTTACTTCCAAAATCCAAGATGGCTGCCTGATGGCCATCTTGAATTCTAATCAGTCCAAAAAAGGTACAATGCACAACTAGGGACCAAGGGGAAACTGCATATGAAATTTGAGAAAGATCCATCCAGTACTTTCCCAGAAGTAGCGGTAACAAGAATTGTTTACTGATGGACGGACGGACCACAGACGCAGGGCGATTTTAATACCACCATCTGATGATGGTGGGCTAAAAATACAAGGAATTTGCTTATGGTGATCTAGAATGACTTTAAATTTGTAAATGATGAGCCATTAGAGATCAGGACTCTTCAAGACTCCAATATCTATAACCAAATCAATATGAATACCATCATTTCATACAAATAATCACAAATGATTCCAATTGGCAATTGACTTTCCTTGCTAATTAACATGAAAATAAATCCCATACAAATTAGATTTTTACACTATGTCTAAGGGAACAATTATGTAATAATTTTACAAAATTGTAAGAATATTCAAATTTCCCATTTGTGTAAATTTGAGGTGATTACCATGTCAACCATAATCAGTAGAATTTGACGAGATATTTCAGTATATTTTAACTACTTTAGCAAGTCCTGATGCTACTGGCCAGCTGCAATGAAGTCAGTTGAGTTAGGGACTTTACAAAAAATGGAGTTTGTTGATAATATATTTCAAACTGACATACATTAAGGCAACATTTCTGACTTACAGGAGAGTAACCACAGCAACTGTGGGTACCATTGGTGTTAATACAGCAACTGTATCCACCTTGACATGCATGTTCTCCTCCAGGACAAATTTCTAAAGGATCAGCTATCATCTGTGCCTCAGACAATCTCGGAGAGCCTGTCTTCTTGTTCTGTTTAAACAATAACAAACAAAATTTATCAGAAAACTTCTGTAAGACAAGAATACCTTCACATCATAATGTATTATAAAACAAGGAAATTTAAATATGAAATTGAGAATTATCCATCCAGTAAATAGGGTTTACAATCTCAAACAGTAGAAATACAACATGTCCACCTATTGGCCATTTTTCCCCGTCCACCTCGTAACTGGACGGGGCTCAACATATGACCAAGGACAACTACAATTTTAGAAAGCTCTATTCAGTGCCAATAGGCAGATATAGAGAGGACAAGGGAAAAACATTCATTGACGACCAATCCATCATAGGCCCTTTACACCAGAACTGCAGAAGTTAATTCACTAGAAATGATCGTAAGTTTCAATTCCATCTTTACTTAATAACCATGTTGAACAAATATATATCTCTGTATTATCCTTTGTGATGGGAGAGCAAATGTAAATAAAACATTAAAACAGTAGATTAACAGAGAAAACTTCACCTATTTTCTACAAAATAAACATGTTTGAAACTAATAAATGATTGGAGAGGGGTGGGTTTTTTGAAGGGTGTTTACCATACCTTATAGGAAGGGGGTTCAGGTGGGGGTGGGGGGGAGGAAGTCAGTAGGTAGGAGGGAGGGGGGGTCCTCCTCCATGAAATTTTTTACAAACTAGGTACTGAGATTAGGATGCCTGTGTTCACAAAGGTCTCATCCACTTACAAGTGCATTTAAAAAAATTATATTCCTTAACTGTTGAAATCCTTGATGGCATTTTGTGCCATTCTGGTTTCTGGTTGTTAGACCAAACTAGAAGCTTAAACCCATGAGATACTCAATTACATAATGCTATCTGTTTGTCACTTTGTGTTTCTGATCAATCTCCAAACAGAACAAAGTACAATTGTAGGAACTACGGCAGATTTAGCCATTCAGCCACTCTTCCGAAAGATCAAATTAACTAACTTTTATTTTCAAATTCAACACTGGGCCATTCTTTGTCCTGACTAATCTCAATACTGAAGGTTCTCAAGGTAAAGCGATGACAATAACTCTTTTAAACAGTGACTGAACCTCTAACTATTGGACAGCAAACCATCAGATGAAGACAGCTCGCTAAAAACGGTCAGTTAAAGTTTCTTTATAAGAAATGATGGCACAAAGTACAGCAACAGCAATTATTTTCTTGCTTTGTGTAATATTGTTTTTCATCACACTAATGAGAAACATCAAGCGGATATCATTTTAAGAAGTTTCCTGAAGGAAATGTGAGCTTATGCCCAAAATTGCAATTCATCTGCAATTTTGATATGTCCCCAGCCAAGCAGAAGCCCGATCAAATCCAAAGTGCATAAAATTAGCATTATATTACTGCTTTACTTCATTTCAAGTGAAAATCTTATTCCAACTAGACACTTCATCAAAGGAGAACCCTTTTGGGCTTTGGGGTAAAAAGTTTCACATATGTAACCCTTGTGACCATGAACATACATCAAAGTCATTGATAAGAAAAAACCTCCACAGCACTTCCATACTGGTCAAATTCCAGGACATGTGGACTGATAGCACAGAATAAGTGGGGCTTTTGTGTAACAATATCTAACATATTTGACACAATTAACTTTAACAAAGGTCTAGGTCATTTATATACTAAAACTGTGTGATACTTCAACCAGTTATCCATGGCCAAGTACCCAGACAATGGACTTTTAGAACTAAGAGAAAAAAAACAATGTTTTTTCTTTACTTTCTATATTGTTCAAGCATTGTACAAAAGACACAAGATAATAGCATCGTTTCATACAAATGTTGATAATTGAAAGATATAGCAGAGTCAAACAGTTAATTACACAATGTGCATACAGCAGGCAAAGAAGCTTGACATATACTGTTACAGTGGGTTTTCTAGAACCTTCAACAGAAGCTTTTAGGAAAGTTTTGCATATATGTAACCCTTGTGACTTGTACATATTTCAAAGTCATTCATATGGGGTAACTTTATAGCACTTCATCCCAGATATCTGCTGATCAATTACCATGGTTACCATGGATCATCCTGAATTGAAGAAGATCCTTAGATTAGCATATTTGACCTATGTGACCTTGAATAAAGATCAAGGTCACCAATAAGAGAAAATATTATAGCACTCCATCCGTGGAACCTACTTGCCAAATATCAGTACCTCGGTTTTAATACTTTTCAATGAGGAAGTTGCCAGGACTTCATGTTATGTCAGCCAATAAACAAGACCAGTCACAGTTACATACCTATAGTGTTAAATTCTATATCCATGAGAAGGTATAAGAAGTAATTTGATCTGCATAGAAATACTTGTAAGAATTGGTAGGTGATTGGTGGATAAAACTAGCCTATCGGTGTCAGGAGGTAGGACATTTGGTAATAAGCATACAGGAATATTATTTACACATCCAACATATTAAAATTCATAGCCATGAGTAAAAAACACAGGAAACAGTTCAATTATTTGAAAATACTGACCTGTTGATTTATAGGTTTGGAGGCAGGAAGTTTGGAAATAAGAGGCATATATGAATTTCCTTGTTCACAACGACCTTTGCTCAAGTTACAGGTGAAACCCTGACGACAGCAGTGCTTCATATCAGAACAACACACAGCCTAGAAAACAGAAAACAGACATTTATCATACAGCGCCTATCAAGAAGTGAAACCCTGACGACAGCAGTGCTTCATATCAGAACAACACACAGCCTAGAAAACAGAAAACAGACATTTATCATACAGCGCCTATCAAGAAGTGAAACCCTGACGACAGCAGTACTTCATATCAGAACAACACACAGGCCAGAAAACAGAAAACAGACATTTATCATACAGCGCCTATCAAGAAGTGAAACCCTGACGACAGCAGTGCTTCATATCAGAACAACACACAGCCTAGAAACAGAAAACAGACATTTATCATACAGCGCCTATCAAGAATGTAATGAATGTCTAAATATTGAATATCACAGATCTGACTTATATAGAAAAATATATACAGAATGACCTCTTAGAGAGAATAACAAAGACACAAGGAAACTCATTTGTTGGTACTTATTTGATTTCATTCTTTACATAACACACAGTGGATGATAAAGGAAATCTGAGATTTCCTGTCTTGTGTGATTACAATTTTCTTTGTCAATTTTCATTTTTTTTTCTCTTAGAATTTACGTAATGCTAAGTGTATACAGGGATATTTTCCATATCTAAAAATTTCACAAATACAGCAGATTGGTCAAAGCTTGATTTCGAATTTGACATAGGTATGTGTTTATATAATTTTGGACACACAATGAATGAAAATGAATAGTATTATATGACAGAGAAAAAAGCCCTGCGTGAATTTTCCCCTATAATATTTCATATATACTTTATGAAATACCCTCTTAACCCATTCAAATGTTCATTAGTTTGACTTGAACCTTGAACTTATAGAGCTATAAATGGCTGTCAATCAAAGTAACTGGCCATCATCAATCACCTGGCCCTACTACTGAGCTATCATAGGTTACCAGACACTCTATATCGGACCAGCAACCCTCTCAACTTACATCAGGAAATGGACAGCAGCCATAATGACCATTGGATAACTTGCAGCAGGTGTTGTCATTTTGACACTCCGACATCCCGTCTGGACACATAACAGACCTAAATGGGCGTTCGTTTACTGAAGCCTGAAATGAAAAAGTTTTTAAAAGTTGTCTTTTCTTTATTCAATTGAAGCAAATAGGTCTCTTGTCCTATCTTATTATACCTACCTCCATGTTTGTGGGGACTCTGGATTCTTTTCTCAACACAATATACCTACCTCCACTTTCATGGGAACTCTGGACTCGTGGCCTTCCACAGGGTCGTACACAATAATATCTGGGCTGTCCTCAGGGACCTGATCAAATTCCATCACAACATCATCCTGAAAAATGAGTAATTAAAACTATCAGATTATGGAGCAATATTGTACTCTTCAGGCATCACTGGGGACAAAATGTATAGAAAAGACAGAATCCTTTCATTACCAGGAGATATAAGCCAAACAAAAAGATGTCCGTAAGACAGGTATACCCCCAGTGCCATGCAACTGTATTGACCTTATAACCTTGACCACCTTAATAAGAAAAGGTGAAGAAAACGTTATAACGATACTATGAAGTAAATATTTAAAAAATCTGTTGGAAGGTTCTCATGATAAGACATGAATTGGTGAGGACGGATGACCAGACACAGGTAACACTATATATCACCCTGATAAAACAGCAATGACATAAAAATAGATAAAATCACACTACAAACATTAATGTTTTCCACATACTTCACAGGACAATCCTATGGTTGCTACAGGTCAGACAGCATAATTTTTTATGCAATCTAATCATTTTGAATATTGACAACATCATCAATTTATTGACACATATTTCTTTGGAAACTGATGATGGTGTGATGTTATTGGATCATTTTATATACCTATTAGGTCTATCTTACTTAAACTGATTATAATTAAATAAAAAAGACAGGTAAATAATAAGATTTAAAAAAAAAAAAAAAAAAAGCAATCACCCAGACATGTCGTAAGTTGGATTTTCATCTTACTTAAATTGATTATAAGTAAACGACGAGTTAATAACAATAAGATTTTGGAGGGGAAAAAAATCACTCAGACATTTCGTAAGCTTTTCGACAAATCTTCAGACAAAATGAAAACACAAGTACGTTATTTGTAGAACAAGATTATCTAGAGTGACATAAATGCTCCCAGCACCAACCAACAAGTTTATACTGTTTTAATTTTGTTAAAAGTACATGTATATTCATGTCTCATTGAATAAAATTTAAGTTCTGAATGAAGATTTACATTACAGAACCTTGAATATTTCTTTTACTCTTCATGCCCATTGGAATGAGGCAAAGCTCTCCAGTTTTTGTATAATCGGTTTTGTGAAAATTTTTATTAAAATTTCTGAAGTTAAAAGATCATAACTTTGGAAGAATGTAAATGGACCATGACCTAACCAGAATGTTTGTATCATCATAACCATACAATTACATACAAAATTACACAGCTATATCTGTAGCAATCAAATGGTACGTAAACAGAGAGAAAGTTCTGACAGGGTGATGGAAGGATAGCTATGGGTAGCCTGCCCTGACAATGACATGGTACATGAAAAAAATGACTCACTTTAATACTGATTATACATCTGAGAGATTTTCAGGATCGTTTTTTTTTTATCTTGTTTGTAATTTACAGAGAGTTACACCTGGATCAGTTGAGATAATATAAAAATACTTTCCTTGAAAACTGCGAGGAAATTTCTGATTTCTTGCTTTGTTTCGGGAATTTTACAAACCGTTTACGGAGAGACAATGTAATGTAAAATAAGAACTTGTATACAGAGACGAACCCATTAAAAATTGTACGTTTATAAAAGTAGTTTTCCTTTTGTTTGATATCTTGTTTCTTACCTGCTGATGTTGTGGTTTGAAGTAAAGGACATTTCCAGACACCAGTGACAGGACACACACCACTGACAATGACGTCAAATACATCTATAAAGACAAAATTATCTATAATTAGATCTATATAAATTTTAGTATCAGACAAGATTCTATTATGTTTAAATATTTCTATTCATGCTTGACAGAATTGCAGTTAAATCAGTCACAAAAATGCAACATGACACATAATTTAAATTTTTGTGTGTGATAAGCAAACTAGTGAACTATAAAAAGAGAGCTTCTAAAGTTTGACACACCAGGGTTTTGAACTTGTGGGATACACTTTCTAAAGTTTGACATGACAGGTCAGTCTGAACTTTGTGATATACACTTTCTACAGTTTGACATGATAGGTCAGTCTGAAGGTCAGTCTGAACTTTGTGATATACACTTTCTATAGTTTGACATGACAGGTCAGTCTGAACTTTGTGATATACACTTTCTATAGTTTGACATGACAGGTCAGTCTGAACTTTGTGATATACACTTTCTATAGTTTGACATGACAGGTCAGTCTGAACTTTGTGGGATACTCTTTCTAAAGTTTGACATGACAGGTCAGTCTGAACTTTGTGATATACACTTTCTACAGTTTGACATGACAGGTCAGTCTGAACTTTGTGATATACACTTTCTATAGTTTGACATGACAGGTCAGTCTGAACTTTGTGTGATACTCTTTCTATAGTTTGACATGACAGGTCAGTCTGAACTTTGTGATATACACTTTCTATAGTTTGACATGACAGGTCAGTCTGAACTTTGTGATATACACTTTCTATAGTTTGACATGACAGGTCAGTCTGAACTTTGTGATATACACTTTCTATAGTTTGACATGACAGGTCAGTCTGAACTTTGTGTGATACTCTTTCTATAGTTTGACATGACAGGTCAGTCTGAACTTTGTGTGATACTCTTTCTATAGTTTGACATGACAGGTCAGTCTGAACTTTGTGATATACACTTTCTACAGTTTGACATGACAGGTCAGTCTGAACTTTGTGATATACACTTTCTATAGTTTGACATGACAGGTCAGTCTGAACTTTGTGTGATACTCTTTCTATAGTTTGACATGACAGGTCAGTCTGAACTTTGTGATATACACTTTCTATAGTTTGACATGACAGGTCAGTCTGAACTTTGTGATATACACTTTCTATAGTTTGACATGACAGGTCAGTCTGAACTTTGTGATATACACTTTCTATAGTTTGACATGACAGGTCAGTCTGAACTTTGTGTGATACTCTTTCTATAGTTTGACATGACAGGTCAGTCTGAACTTTGTGTGATACTCTTTCTATAGTTTGACATGACAGGACAGTCTGAACTTTGTGATATATGCTTTCTATAGTTTGACATGACCTTTACACAATGTGCAATATCTTTGCCTGATACACACATGAGTTTAAGTTGTTCTCATAATAAAAAGCCAACATTTTAATAGTTTGATTATTCATGATATAATCAGTTACAGAACTTCTTATTTTCTTTTCTCTTAATACACAAATAAAATACAAAGACATCATTTTAAAAAAAAAAGTGTTCAAATTCCTTCTATAATAATTTGTTTTCTATTCTTAAAAGACAGAAAGGAATGTATATCCCTATAAAGTTTGGTACTCATAAATTCACACTGTATAATAGGCATAGTTCCATCATACACACATACATTTATACATTTTTACAATAAAGGACTGCTTACATTCATTGGTGTGACCATTTTGACCAGGGATGCTCATTTACAAAATAGGGATTTTATTTTTGCTATCTAACGAGCTTTGACTAAGCCTTTCAAGGTCTGTATGTATATTTACAGGTCCGTCCCAATTTATCTATACTGACGTCAAACCAGTTTGCTCACAAAAAATTGCTGACTTTTGCCTCTGTGTTTCCTTTGTTCCTGTTAACAATCAACACCGCATTAGTTCTGATCACCATTACATTACTTGTATACCAGCTGCTGTTTAGCTTTTCAAATATTAACATTGATCTAATAATGGTAACCATCTCTTCTGGATGTATAATTGTGTGACACAATAGTTTATTTTTGGACTGAACAGTATGTGCACACAGTACATACACAATATGCACACAATGTATCTATCATGTGCAAGTGTTCCCATGGTATTTTTCAGTGTGTTGTGTGATCCCACAACTGTATAAACAATCTATAACAAGCAAAGTAATATTACACAATTTTTACTTTATACAATTCACTGCCTATAAGACACAAATGTTTTAAGGATACTTATAACTCTTGCTGTATATACTGTATATTTTATATTTTCGACCACATGTGAGAAGAGTCTTTGACTCAATGTGTAATCGAATGAAAATAAAGTCTATTATTATTATTACTATTATTATTAATCTTATCGCACATTCCGGCTTCTCCATCATGATAACCTCTACTTCCTTTTTCATGTTACGAGAAACCTATGTTAATGAATGTCAACCTTTATCTTTTTTTTTTTTTTGATCACGATCACCGCACTACAACCTTTATCTATGTGTAAATATTACACTTATCTGATTGTTTACCCGGAAGGTTAAACAATATTGCTATTAATTTCCTATTAGTCATGACAACCTCGCAATTTCCTTTTTTCCTGTTTAAGTTAACATTTATGCAGGTGACGACACTAATTGGTCCTGTGACTATCTAACTTCTCCAATCACAATGACCAAGACCTCTTGATGTCCTTATTCACACTCAATATACATTACTTTAGAAAGATATATATATATACATATATATATGTACTAGTCCACAAACAGCACATCAAATCTCCAGAATACAGAAAAATAAAACTAAGTGAACATTTAGACATTTGCAGAAAGAAAACATTTAGAATCTTTCCTTTCTACAAATTCTATTTGGAGAATCCCATTGAAAGAAGATAAAAGGAAATGTATTTTATTAGAACTTTTAAACCCAAACTAAACAGTAATGTTTAAGAATCATATAAACTACGTCATGATCTCCCATTCAATAATGACGTCACATAATCAAACTTGTTATTATGTCACAGACATCGTAACTAGGCAATTTATTAAGCATCATAAAGATTCAGAAATGAAAGCACTAATGCTTATTTCGACGTGCTGTTTTAAGTTATTCTAACATATATATATATACAATCAATGAAATGATAGCAACAGTACAGACAAGCGAATTGTCAAATATTCAAGGCAACCTGCCCCTTTATCAAGACACAAATATTACATAAATTACATCATATACATAGAACATAAAACAAATACAAAGTTATAAATCTAAATCAAGAGTGGTGGTGTAAATTTAGGTGTCTCGATAATCCCTTCAGCCGATGGAGGTTGAAGGCCTTTTATAGTAAACAAAAAAAGTTGTTGTACATAAGATGGTGATAAAAATATCAAAATTTTTTTCATAAATCTAGGTATGTTTTGCACTCTAAGACACTTAGCGTATGCAATAAAAACAACTGTAATATATTGTAATTATTGTGATGGCAAGAACTTGTCATCCACTGATCTACATTCTCCCTGTACTATAAAGAGAATTTTTACCAACACCTTAGTCTGTTAAACAATGACTTTCTCACTTTCTATGATACGTTTTAAGGGAAATTGACAAATTCTTAAACTGCCTCTAATTTAGATTAAATGGACAATTTGATGAAGCCATAATTTTGTTACCCTTTTACAAAAGCCTTCATGCTAAAATATTGACAAAAATCACTGTTTTTTACTTTTAAACATAACAAATGCAGGAAGTTACTAACTGTTTGACACGGAGTTGACTTACTCACCCTTACATTGTGTAAACACAAGGATATCATATTTTTTGTATAAGCAGACCTAGTGTCACTCACCTTGTTGATAGATAATGTGTATATGTAGCAACCATGCAAATTCTATGTCTGTAGGCACAACCTTATCTCATACACACGAAAACATCATCTTATCTCAATTTTATAAAGAACTAGTTTTCTTGTGAGATTTCATTTTAACATTGATTTTTTAAATTTTTTTTATTTTGTTTTTCTTGCAATTCATTTTAACAAAAAATGGTCAAGCTGTATTTTAGTACCAAACTTTCAATTTAATCATCTCCTGCTTCCCTAGGAAAAGAACTGGACATCCACAGAAAGTTCTCTCAACCATAGAAGCTCACATTTAATTGCATTTTTTTTCAGTGTCTGAAAGTCTAAAGTCATCAGTTGACTAAAGCTATGTTTCTTTAAATCCTACTGGCTTGTTTTTAATCTGTATTATCATATACTGTTATCTCTCTCATTTCTTCCTTTATCAAGAAGTAGATTCTGTAATACACTCAGTTTGACGTTACAGTTTGTATATCAAACTTGTATGAACATGAGGTCACTTCAAGGTCTTTATCTGACAATGAATACTGATAAACAGATAACAATAAAAGTGTCACTTCAGCTCATTCCTCCAATTGGATAAATACAGTTCCCAATATTGGGGTAAACCTATGGATCACCCGTTTTCAGGAAATCCTTATCCTGAAATAATTTTGAACTATTTCCTGAAACCAACATCTGTAGGTTTGCAGTGACCAAGCAACCCTCTGTTGATAGTGAAATCATTTATTTTCTCTTCTCAAAGTTATTTTATCTGCTTGAGTTGATCACATTCAACCATTAAATAAATGTGACTTTGCAATACTGTACAGTCAAAGTGTGTTGTCAGGTAATACAATGTAGATTTCTATAAAGAAATTATTTCCAATAATACTGCAAAAATATTTTGCTCTGAAACGTTATTTGGTTGTTATCTGAAATCGGAAATACGACAAGTCGCACAAGATAACACTGAAAGGGGCTCTTGGCATGGTAAACATATACTTTCATATAAAATATCTACTTTCACTTTCTAAACTGGTATCCAATTTACACCCATAATTCCCAACAATGGAATGGAACTCACCGGTATTCCAGCGAAATCAATTGTTATCTTCATCATGAAGACTACTTGATATGCAGAGTATAAAATAGCGAATAAAGACATACCTTTGACAAGACAGACTGTGCTCTCAA